GCACAAAGTACAGTCTTTCATTGTTTTTATAAAAGATCTTTACAGTATTTCCTTTAACTTCCTAGTCTTTTAAAATAATTTTTTATTATTTATTTATTTTTGAGAGAGAGAGAGAGATGGAGACAGAATGTGAATAGGGGAGGGACAGAAAGAGGGAGACCCAGTTCTTAAGATTTTTTATTGTTGTTGTTGTTCTTTGCTTTTGAGAGCTCTGATACTAGAATTAAGAGAGTATCAGTGGATCTCTTCCTGCTGATGATCATTTATTCATTCACTCAGTAAGTCAGTGATGATTTTTGAGCCCCTGTAATTTGCTTACCTGGAAATTTATAATTGTAGTACGTAGCTTATGGGGTTTTTGAGGAGTAAATAAAATAATACATCTATCTGTATTCAGTTAAAATGATTATTCATGTAACACTGTGCATATATTACTACTAGGAGTTGTGATGGATGCAAAGGAATACTTAGAAGAAAGGAATATTTACACTTAAAAATTTTATTTATTTATTTTTGAGAAAGTGATAGAGCAGGGGAGGGGCAGAGAGAGGGGGAGACAAAGAGGACCTGAAGCTGGCTCTGAGCTGTCAGCATAGAGCCCATTGTGGGGCTTGAACTCACAAACTGTGAGACCATGACCTGAGCTGAAGTTGGACACTTAACTGATTGAGCCACCCAGGGTTCCCCTGGAATATTTACTTTTAATGGGGAAACAAAATATATACTAGAAACTTAAGAACATGATAGATAGGTATTCCAGGAAAATCAGAGGAGAAGGTACCACCTGTGTATTATCATAAGGTTAAATAGGAGTAAATGCCACATGAATTGTCTAGTTATTAATAGGGAGACTTGAGGAAGAGAGCAGTCTGGTCTGGGATGGTCCGAGAACATCCGTGAGAGGCCGGGGTTTGAGCTGGAGCAGGCGGGAGGCAGCTGGGTGGGATATCCTAGCACATGAGAACACCGGCTCTGGAACCAGCCACCTGGGTTCAGATCCCAGCGGCGGCTGTTGTGTGACTTTGCACGTTAGTAAACATCTCTGTGCCACTGTTTTCTCTCCTGTAAAAGGGGGAAGATAAGGTCTGTCCCTCGAGACTTGAATTCATGTATGTGTATATATAATCACTTAGAACTTTATATTCGGGCTCATCCATAGTAAGCACTATGTCTGAAATGTCCATTCAGTGTAGGCCTAGAGGTAGGACTGTGCACGATCTTGAAGGGGGACAGTGGGGAAATGACACTTCCTGTGGCTTGGGATCTGCATAGGCATTATTTTGCTGTATTCTTTGGTTATGTGAATAAAAGGAAGATAAAACAATTCTTTTCCTCTCTAATCCTTTGCTTCAAAGTCTCTTAGCACTATAACCTTATAGTCAGAGTTGGATATAATTCATAAACATTTTGGTATATTTCATTAGTTTTGTAGTTGATAAATTCAGATGTCATACACTTTTATCTTTGTCCTGGAAGGTTTTTCTGTTTTAATTAATAGACCAAAGGAGATTTGTCAGGGTCTTGTTCTCTTCAAGTAATGTGAAAGGAGAGTTTTGCTTTTATTCTCTCTGCTGGTTTTATGTCAGTTTAAGTAACAGAACAGGGAGTGAAATTCACTGGATTCCTCTTATGTTACTTCCCTGATGGCAGTAGACACATGTAGTTTCGGGTCTCCTCAGTATGAGGAGCATCCTCATTATTCCTTAGTTGACTCTTAGACCTCAGATCATTCAGTATCATCGCGTGTAATATGTGTTCCCCCCTTACTGCGTGAAATCTGGCAGCCCTGAAACTATATCGAGTTTGTGCTACAGATGAAAGTTATAATTCACCAGTTTTAGGTTGAGCCCTTATTTTCTATAAGTGCAATATTATAAATACAACAATTATCATAAAAATAAAAAAATAGAAAAAAATAGATTTATAAATATTGGCTGTGTGTAACACCAAATGCTGACTGTAAAAATTACTACATACATGTTTTGTTTGGGGGATTTTTTAAGTGTTGTCTGTTTTAGCTTATTCCTATTGAAATATATGCCATTGACGTTGGGTTTGAGAATGCCTTTTTTCCCCTAGTAACTTTTTACAGCAAACATAAGTATTCATCGTTCAGGGGACCTTGAGTGCCTCTACTTCAAAATCAGGGCCCTCTGTCCAAGGGATAGGTGACAGAGGTGGTGGTGTAGGGGGTAGTTTTCCTATCATTGACTTCTCTCTTCTGTTGCCCCTTATTTTATTGCTAGCAAACACCTTCGCAAAGAATAACCTTTTTTAACTTTTCTGGCAATTTTTTCCTTTGGGATTTGTGGCTTCTTTCCCTTAAACGTCAATGATTTTACAAACTAGTTCTCAGAAATAATCAAATCATCCTTTGCCAATGGTAAAAAAAAATAAAAATTATTTTCAAACTCTGTGTTAAGCATTTGGGAGAGCTGTGATGCCTTGTGGATATTGCTTATTTCTACCTCATGAATCAGCTTATCACTTCTTACTGCTGCTCATTGCATTGGCCGGGTGCCATCTACTCAGGCTGGTGTCAGCAGACTTGATTGCAGCTGTTAGGTATTTGTAAATATAATCATTGATGTTGTTCATGTGGTGTTACGATTTATCATCATGTAGATCTTGAAATGTCACCCAGTTACATAGGTCTTGTACCTCACTGCCCCTGAAAGGCTTCTTGCTGGTGTTATGAATAATGATGCTTTTCATGATGGTTGAACACTTCTTACATGCCAGGCACTCCTCTATAGCCTTCAGATGTACTAATTTGATTCTTCCCAAATCCAAATGAGGTTAATACTATTAATCTTTCTATTTCACTACTGGGGAAATTGAGGCACAGGCAGGTTGAATAACTTGATCAAGGCTTCACAGCTGTTCAGGGTGGTGTTCTGTCACAGAGGTCAGACTTTGGAGAGCATTCTCCTAGTTATAATGGATTCAAATTCAAGAAAATGTTTGTCTGGTCTTGTCTTCACTGGGGGCAGATAATATTACAGTATTTACTAAATAGATTAAACAGCTGGGTCCCAGGGATATAGCTGGTGGAGGCAGGGGGAGAGTCCTAAGTCCTGGAGTGGCGGTGCTTTCACTGTGGTCTTACACACGGGCCAACAGCTGAGAATACTGGGAAGTTTCACATCAACTCTTTAATCTGCAGGATCTCCTGAGTCATTGATTAGTGAAACTGACTAATTGGTCCAGAAGAGAACTCTGAGTGATGACTTTAGATAGTTTTTTTTTTTTTTCCAACTTGGCAGTCTGAAAGATGACTAGGTTTCTTATTTCCCATTGACTTTCAGACCAGTTTGATTTGTTCAGTGATGGTAACTACCGTGTAGTTGTATATGTGGGCTCACATTATTATTGCTTTTTGTCCTTTATTTACCAGAACATTTTCTTTTGTGCTAAATAAAGGAAATAAATATAACTCCACATATTAAAACCAGTGCATAAAAGGTGGCAATTAGTAGTAATACACAGTCTCTTTAGCCTTTTGTTTCCAAGGCATGGAACACGAACAAAAGAACTTTTTGTAAGTTTATTCTTGATAAAATTTCTGTGAAAGGAAACATTTATATTTAGTGTGAGAAATCATTGGTGAGAGAAGAGTCGAACATAATAGAACTTGTAATATTCATTCCTTTCCTGCTGACAGATAAATGTTACCTTCAGATGAAACCAGCATGCTTATTGTTTGGAATAAAACAATGAACAGAGTTCCAATATAAAGAATCTTAAAATTAAGCAGCCATTATTTTGTAGTGAGACATTTAAGTTTACCATGTTCTTCCTTTTTTTAGTGGGGGATGATACATGTAAGTTTTAAGACTTCTTAAGCCAAGTGGAAACAATAAGAGACAAAGATGAAATAAAGTATATGTAAATATACTGTGTTTGGAACTTTAGATTCAAAGTGTTTTTGGAACTTTAGATTCAAAGTGTAACTTTTGCGAGTCACCCAGCTTCCTATAACTCTTCAGAAGTTTTCTAGGAAGTTCTTCTAGAAGCTTTCAGTGTGTTTTCTATGTTTTTTTGAACCACGGTTTCACCAAGCCCATTTACAGATTGGTTTGCAGGACTCATAGTTTCATTGGGAATAGAATTAATGAAATGTTATCATTCTACTTACCTTATGGAAGAATAAGTAGCTACACTTTGGGCATTTTAGGAAAAGTAGTGGTAGAACCAGTTATTTTCAAGTGCAAAGAATGGTGAGATTTAGAGAAATAGGTATTCTGAAATTTTTTCTGCATCTGCACTAGAACGCGACATGTCCAGCTGCCTGGATGAGCTCTGTACCGTCACTGGTGTAGCTCGCTCTTTCATCAGGGTAGGGGCCTCTACCGGAAAGCATTTGTGTTCTCACTCACGGATCTCCAGACACTCTCTCTGTACGTATATACACACTTCTGTGGCACATCTTTGTTTACGAACAGATTGTCCCCCTTGATTGCTTTATTCCAATTTTGAGTTTTTGTGATACTCAAGAGGGCACTTCTATAAAAGAATTGACTATAGATGACATATAGTGCTCACTTAAAAAAAAAAATCTTTGTGCTGTTTTTAATAATTCATTTGACGTATTATTTTAGAGCCTGCTAAACGCCAGGCACTATTTTAGATATTGAGGCAGTGGACAAAATAAACAAAAATTCTACCCTCAAGAAATTTATATTCTGGGTGAGGAGGAGATCCTGTCTCTGAAATGCTGTTATTTGAAGCAAGATAAAGAACTTAGAGTATTTTTATAGCAAGCATCTTAAACTCCTAAATCTGTTTTAAAATAATTTGCTTTGTTGAAACATTCTGTAAGCAAATGGAAGAGTAGAAGGAAGGCTTTTGTTTTTTGGTTTTTGTTTTTACCTAAGTGTTGGTGATCAGACCCAAGGCCCAGCCATATTTGGTAGAAGCTAGCTTTATTATATTAGTAATCGACTCATATTGAGTTTGGTTTTATTTTGTAGTTTCAATATACATGTAACTGGTCCTTATTGGGTTGTCTAAAGTTAAATTTTGGGAAGGCTCAAATGACCCCTACCTGCCACCTAGAGATCTGGCCTGGTGGCTCATAGGTGTGGAGCAACGCAGTGGTGACCGGAGAATGGATCTGTGGCTGGAGGCGAGACTGGAGCCTCGGTGCGCTTTCTAGAGGTGTTGCAGTGTGCGAGCTGGAAGTCCGCGTTTGGGATTCTTCGTTTGTCACTTTTACGAGGACGGGCAAGTTAACCTGGGCCTCAGTTTTCCCACCGTAACACAAGGAAGATCACATCACCAAGTACAGGAGTAACTGGGCTTGTGTGTTAAATGCCTCTCATCCTGTCTGGTCCCCAGTCTAGTCCCCAGATCAATAAACGTGGCCGATCGTCGCGGCAATCCTAATAGTAGTACGGCCAGCGCTGTTCCTGCAACAGCGCTGACCAGCACTGTGCTCACCAGCGCTGCTCTGCCTCCAAAATGCAGCAAAAACAATGCTTTAGTAACTCAGGGCTCTCAGCACTACCTTCCGGAGTGCACCTCTGAGCCGGAACTTGTCTTTAATACGTGTTTTGTTAAAAATAGGTATGCTTTCATACCCATTTCTGCTCAGTGAAGCTTAACAAAGTTTTAAAGTTTTCTAGTCTTTACCAAATGAGTATTATTTTGCTGAGGGGCCCATGCCACTATTAATCATTTTCATTATAACCCTTGTATCTAACATGTACTTTGTATAGAAAGTACAGATCTAAACTTGTGATACGTTTTTTCCAAAATTCTTTGAGAAAGAATTTTGTGTAGCTATGGAACCGTGTCTGCTTTAATTAGAAAAGGCAGTAGTCGTTTGTTCATTCCCACCCCACCCCCCGTTCCTCAATTCACTGCTATAATTTATTCTTATGTTGGAAGAGTGAGCATTGATTGGCATCATCACTGTAACCCCATGTTCTCTTTTTTGCTTTCCATTTCAGTGGCCTGTGATAAAGTATTAGTTACTGACATGGAAGAAAGTAAAATAGGCTTTTGTTTGGTGACAAATGAACTAGGGTAATTGTGGCATCCATGCTAAATAATCATCCGTGTGCTGCAGAAATTTAAAAACCTGAATTCTGATGCCTTTAGAAACGTGTCTGTGGTCCACGCTACGTAAGATCCGCACTTGCGAGCCGCAGAGTGGGTGAATACTGCACTTACAAACTATGGTCTAATACATTTCTTCTTGTCTGTATCTAGAGGGGAGTTTTGACTTTGGATAATTTGCAGCAATAATAACTTGATGGGAATACTGTTGATCGATGCATAGCACTGCCCATTCTCAGACCTTTCAGCTTCCCTCTTCTACTTGAAACTATCCCACGGGCGTGGCCAGAGGACTAGTCTCTACGTCCACATAGTATTCAAATGTTTACAGATGTTTCCTGTGCAAGGCATGTCACATAACCCAGTAAGAGAATAAAGTGCAAAATACAACTGATATAAGGAAGTGCAGTGCTTTCTCTGGAGCTATGATAAGTATTAGAAAACTGCTACTATTTATACTCAGAAGTAGAGAAAATGTTTTATTGAACTATAAAGCAGAGCCATTGAAATTTGTTCAAAAAGTTTTTGTCTTCTTGGGAAGAGAGCATGGTTGGCTCATTTGGTTAAGTATCCGACTCTTGGTTTTGGCTCAGATGATGATCTCATGGTTTGTGGGATTGAGCCCCAGGTCAGGTTCTGTGCTGACAGCGTGGAGCCTGCTTGGGGTTCTCGCTCTCGCTCTGTCCCAACCCTGCACCTGTGTGTGTGTGTGTGTGTGTGTGTGTGTGTGCGTGCGTGCGTGCTTGTGCATGCGCGCTTGTTTTCTCTCTCTCAAAATAACTAAACATTTAAAACAAAATTTTGTTGTCTTGATTCAGAATGTTTCAGCTTTCATGGCTTATTGCATATTAGAGCCCAAAGGGACCTTAGGGATCATGTTAGAAGCGCTTTGCTTGGGAAAGGCCCGTGCTGAGGGCCACACAGCTCAGTGAGGGGTGACCGGGCTTCCTGACATGCTGGTGCTCTGAGCTGTTCCCGCACCCTGCTGTCTTTACCTCACTTTTCTGTCTAAATTTCTTCTTAATTCCATCCAGTCAGGCCTGATCTTTGCCTTTTTTCATTCTCCTGCTATCATCCTTTGGTGATAAACTTTCTTTCCACTTTTATCGAGAAACAAATGACATACATCCCTGTATAAGCTGAAGGCCTACAGCGTGATGGTGCCATTTACACTGTGAAGTGATTATCGCGCTAGGTTCAGCTCACATCTATCACCTCATATAGGTAAAATAGAAAGGGAAGAAGATGAAAAAGAAAAAAATGTTTCTCTTTGCGATGAGGACTCAGGATTTACTGGCTTAACAGGTTCCCACACACCCCGCAGCCGGGTTAGCTCAGCAGTCATACTCACTCCAGCCCTACTGCCATTTGTCTGGTAACTGGGAGTCTGCACCTTTTATCAGTTAGTGTTATTTTCAACTTTCCCTAGATATTTACCCCACCTCCAGGTCTGTGCTGTCAAATTCGGTAGCCACTATTTAGATTTAAATTCAATTTTGTGTGGCTATTTAAATTTTAATTAACACTAATTAAAATGAAATAAAATTAAAGCTCTCTTAGCCATATTTCAAGTGCTTAGTACCTAGGCACATAGCTACTGGTTACTGTGTTGCAGAGCATAATTAGAGAACGTTTCTATGATCACGTTAGACTGTAAGCTTTTTGAGGGCATGGGGCCATTTAACATTGATATTAAGAATATACAACACAGGCTCTTGATGAAAGCTTTAGAATGGGTAAATGAGCATATACTAGGGCTGTCCTTTTTTGTTCTGAATTACCCTTTTCTTTCTGAACCATTTTCTGATCCAAGAGAAATCCGCGATTTGGTATTTTCCACTTCTTGTATACAGTATGTATTGCATACAACTTACTATGTCATAAACAGGAATGGAGGTTTAAGATTATGGAGATACTTTTTGCATCATGTTCCTTGTGTAGCCAGTCAGTGAGGTAGTGTGCATTTTAAATGCTTATTTTTTTTGTTTTTTGTTTTTTCTTTTTTAAATTTAAGTTATAATGGCGACTCGTTGGTGCTCATTCCTTGGCGTGAACACAAACACCGAGAGAGAGATTGGTGTGAGGAGCTGGAGCGCAGGTAAGGGGGAGCCGGTGTGAGGGACCTTCATTCCTCTGGGACGGGCACACGGAGGGCCTGTGCAGGTGGCATGTGGTCAGTGACCACGTACTAGAAAGCGGTCCCTGATTGAGGAAGCTTGGGTGCGGTTGTTTGAAACACTTGACTTGATTTTACTCCATTTTGTTACAGGTTTTTTTTTTTTAATGGAAGAATATTAAATGCTATAAAGTAAATATTCTAAAAAATTGATCCTCATATAGCATCTCTTTTCATTTTAAAATTTCATTTTTGATTTAATTTGAATTTTTATTTTTGTAAGACTTATCCTTGGAAAACCTGAGAATATAGAGGCATCAACTACTGGTGAAGGGGTGTGAGAATAGGTGTGGGGCTAAAAGCATTTGAATTCCCTTATTCCTCACTCCTCAAAGTCAGGAAAAAATGTTCTGTCAACATCTAGCCTTCCGTATTTTTATGGAATGTTTATTTTTTGGATTCATGCATTGAGGCAGAGAACCTCCAGATTGATCCAGAAACCTTCCAGCTTCCTGGACATTAGGCCCAGCGCAGGGTGGGGGTGGAGTGCTGGGGTTGAAACTCTGAGCATTCAGTGAGAATTTATGTCAGAATGTTGAAGCCTGGTGGTACCTGCCACCTCTGAGCTCTTAGAGTGCAGACATATTCTCCAGGTAGAAGTTTGGAGAGTTCTTTCCTGGAGAAATGGAATCGCGTCTGAGAAGAGCCTTCTACATATTGAGATGTTGTCCCAAGAGATCAGTGCATTACCTGGTCGCAGGGGAGCCAGCATAGGAACAAGTCCCGTCAGCACACCGAGCTTCCCGGACATTTGAGGGTTGTCCAATGTCAAATGGGCAGGAGAGGCAAAACCAACAGAAGGTGGAACTGGAGGTCAGAGACCGCACAAAAAGAAAACTTCAAACATTGTAATTAATGTTGCCCATGAGATAAGATACTGTAGTTGTGAAATAACCAAAAGATTTTATAAAATAGAGACAGACAACTAAGAGTACTTCAGGAAATGAAAATGATAGTTGGTATCTAACAATTAGGAAGTTTGAAAGGTAAAAGCAAAGAACTTTCCCAGAAAGTAGAATAAAAATATTATAGAGCTAGACAATAAGAGAGCAAAGATAAAAGAAGCTTAATATTCAAATTAGAGGCATTCTAGAAAGAGATGACATATAGAAGGGAGGAAATTTATAAGAAATATTTCAAGTCTAGTATTTAGAATTGAAGCCTATGAGTTTCCACACTGAAATGCCCACTACACGAAAGCGTACCATTAAGATCTTCCCAAATGTCAGGGACGCAGTCTACCAGAGAGAAAGACATTCCATAAAAGGAAGTTTGATTTAGAATGACCTCAGATGTCTCCAGAACAGCTCTAGGAGCTAGAAGAAAAACTATTTTTTGATCGGGAATCCTGATATTGCTAGTATCATCATTCAAGTATGAGGTTACTCATGTAAGATCTTGTAAAATTTACTACCCGTGTACATCTCATTTCAGGAAGCCATAGGAGATGTGTTTTATTAAAATGAGGTGGTCAGTTGAAAAAAAGAAAGCCATTAGATTCAGAACTGGGCTCTAACGCAGGCCATGGCGATGGATAGGCCCAGGATGACAGCTGTGTTCTTGTCGGGTGAGAGAGCAGCTAGCACCGGGGAAGGGTATAGATGGCTTCAAGAGCCAGGTGTCTTGGAAGAGTTTAAAAAATGGAACTGGTGTATTATCTGATGTATTTGACTTTGGGAAAAACTTCTATTTTGCTATTAATACATCTTGCGGAGAATTTAGGAAAAAAACAAACAAACAAGCAATGAATGCATAGCCTAGTAAATGGGAGAGGTAGGACAACTGGCATTTATTAACTCCAGAAAATGAAAAGTTGTGATAATGCACCACTTGGCTCAGGAGAAGATAACATTCACATAATCATAATAATGCAAATAATCAGTGGTTTAATCCAAATTGTGATATATCCACAGTGGGAAGAAAGAGTATAAGGGAAGTGGATGGTTGTGGTTGAAGACCGCCAAAGGGCAGGTAGAGTAGATAAGTCAGGAAACAGTCACAAACTGCGTACTGTTTAGACGCGTAGAGGAAAACCCAGGATCATGGCTGAAAGACATGAACATCGCTTGGAGCGTGACAAGGATGGTGGATGGTGGCAGTGTCAACTGCATATGGAATTACTGGCTTTTTTTATAGGAGTCTTTTCGTGCTTTTGGATTGCTGAAGCTACATACATGTATGGTCTGTCTGATAAATGATAAAAACCGGTAGTGTTGATCATTGTAAATGACATTTGGAAGCTCTCTAGTGTTAGTGGTAATGTTGGCCATATCCCTTCATTTTGTTATTTTGGATATCTGAGATAACACTTAGTTACCTTTTTTACCCCAAAAAGTTTTAGTGTAATAGCAGTTGAATATTCTGCTGTGTTTTTGCTATTGCTTTTTTTTTTAATGTTTATTTTTGAGAGAGAGATAGTGATAGCATGAGCAGGGGAGGATAGGAGAGAGAGGGGGAGACACAGATTCTGGTGACAGGCTCCAGGCTCTGAGCTAGCTGTTAGCACAGAGCCCGATATGGGGCTCAAACCCACGAACAGTGAGATCATGACCTGAGCTGAAGTCGGACACTTCACCGATTGAGCCACCCAGGTGCCCCTGCTGTTGCTTTTTAAAAGTTGTTTTTAATTTCATGTTCCAAAATCAGAGTTGTATATATTTGCAAGTAGATTATTTTTCTACAAAGCTGTTGTTAAAAAAACATTTAGAAGATGTATTATATACACAATAGAATACTGCTTGACAATGAAAAAGAATGAAATCTTGCCATTTGTGACAACAATGGATGGACCTGAAGGGTAGTATGCTGAGCAAAATAAGTCAGAGAAAGACATATCATATGATTTCACTCATACGTGAAGTTTGAGAAATTTAACAGGTGGTCATTGGGGAAGGGAAGGAAAAATAGGATTAAAACAGAGAGAGGCAAACCCTAAGAGACTCTTAAATACAGAGACAAACTGAGGGTTGCTGGAGGGGAGGTGGATGGGGAGAGGGAAAAATGGGTGATGGGCATTAAGGAGGACGCTTGTTGGGATGAGCACTGGGTGTTATATGTAAGTGATGAATCACTGGGTTCCACTCCTGAAGCCAAGACCACACTGTATGTTAACTAACTTGAGAATTTTAAAAAAATAAAAAGAAAGAAAAAAAAGAAAAACCCAAACCCTAAGTCTTTTGTTCCTTGTCACATTTCTTGCTCTCCAGAAGCAATTACAGTTCTTTTAGATGATAGCTTTTGTATTAATTCCACATCCCGGAATTACCATTGTGTAGCTACTTGTTGAGTTTTTAGTTCCAACCATTAGCTGTGGGCTTCCTAGAAGGGAAGGTAACAGCTGAGCATGTACCCTGCTGCTCCTGAGAGTGTGGGACATCCTCCACCCCTCTCCGCGTAACCATCCTGTGCTGCCATTTTGGGGGCATTGCAGGAAAAAGTGGAGCTTCAGTGCATAGTATTCATCAGCTACATTTAACTAGACGTCCTCACTTAACAGTTGTAATGAGAGGTGGAAGAGGTAGAGGAACTGAAGACGGTGGAAGGTCAGTGCCAGTGGACAGGGTGGTCGGCAGACGTGCCAAGACCCTGTTGACGGTGAACGCTCTCATTTCCAGACGGGCTTTTGAGAGAATAGCACTGGCGGAGCACCATACCCTTCATCCCGTGCTTCCCCGGTCCCCACAGCCTGTGCCTGTGCATGGTTCTCGGTAGAGGAAAGGCTTGAGGGCATTTCTTCTCAGACCAACCACAGTGAGCCGGCATGTGAGCAAAGCTTGCTGTGCCAGAACTCCTGAAACTAGAGATGAAAAGTCAGGAAAAGTCTCACAGAGAAAAAGATGCTTTCGCCGGTGGTACAGGTGTTCCGTGTTCCAGGACATACCATGTTCTTTATTCATTTAATGGGTGTCTGTCTGTCCTCTGTTAGATGCAAGAATACCAAAGGAAGAACAGCAGATGCAGTCCCTGTACTCTGGAGGCTTGCAGTCTGGCAGGGAAAATGGTCCTGTGGTAGATGATTCACGTGATGAGGGCTGGGAAAGACCAGGGCCGGGGGTACCAGGGGCTTGGAACAGGGAGATCTCAGCGTGGTGGAGGACAAGGAAGGCTGTCCCGGGCAAAATCTTGTGAAATCTGAGGCTTGAATAGTGAATAGGATTTAGCTCCATGGAGGGCAAGTCTGGGAGAGGAGAGGGGGATGTTCTAAGCAGAGGAAGAGCATGTTGGAAGGAGGCTCAAGACAGTGTCCCCTTCAAGGACTAACAGCAAAGACGTGGATTGCTGAAGCACCCAGGGCAAGGGTGTGATTGGCACCACGATGAGGCTAGAATATTTTGTGGCCGGTCACAGGCTTTAAAAGTAGGCATGGATGATTTAGTCAGGTTTCTGTTTTTAAAAAGGTAACTATTACCTGAGGAAGTCGTGAATTCAGTTTTGATCTTGTTGCATTTGAAGTGCCTGTGAACCATCGGGAGCAAATAACAGGCAGATTATGGAGCTTTTAAGTGAAGGGTGGGTTAGGGGTCAAGCATGGTCATTGCTGTAACGTGTGTGGCAGTTGATGCTGTAGAGTCAGAGGTGAGACCGAAGGAGAGTCCAGAGTAAGGAGAGAGGAGAGAGCCGGCCTGGGAATTTGGAGGAGTCAGGATGCGGGGCTCAGCTGGACGGGCTGTCCCGGCAGAGGTGACCCAGAAGGAGCCTCCAGGAAGGCGAGGGAAGGCAGGCGGCACCGCATGCTGGAGTGAGGGAAGGGAAGCCTGCTTCTGGAAGGAGAATGTGGTCAGATTCTGTCAAACGGTGCTCAGAGGGAAATACTAAGGACTGAAGAAAATACCAAGGGACCTCAGAGCTGCTCGTGGGTATTTTTCCCTGCGGACATGGGCGCCTTTACTGATTTTGGGGAGGGGGGTGACTTTTCTCCTGGCAGTGATGGGAGAAGCCACTGGCCAGAACGTTAATGTCAGTTGTGAGGCCAGCAGGGCAGAGGGCTACCGGCTATAAGCACAGCACGTTGCCTGAGGCATGTGGCCCAAATGCCCAGATATTTATGGATTTTGTGTTTGCTCATCAATTATAGCTACTAATAATTCCACCAAAAATAATTCCTAGAAATAAAAAATTAAGCACCTGCTCCATGTCATATGATGTTCTCTGTGTACTTTATTTATATTGTTTTGAACACTCTGGCATAGTATTTACCTATTTTACCTGAATAAAATGAATCTAAGAGAAGTCTTAGCTCTATAATTTATGCAGAGTTTCATGCCTTTCAGCAATGGCATGTGCTTCAGTTCTGGCCCTAAAGCCCTTGCCTTGGCAATCCACTTGGCCAGGGTCATCCTCCTGAAAACCCCTCGTCATTTGTGATCCCTGGGGTGTCATCCCTGCATACATTCCTCTTCGTGTTCTTTTTTTTTTTTTTAAATATACATCAACTGGCCTGAAATAGTTCCGCACTCTAAATGTCAGTACTGTACTACGTTGCTGATGCCTACTGACCGTATATTATCAATGTAAATAAGGCACATTTCCTTTGATTTTTACGAAGAGAGAAAACAAGGTTTCTGAATTTATATTTGCGTCAGCATCACTGGGAGTTGTTCTATCAGAACGAGGCCTGGCTGGCCATCGCAGGTAATTCTGATGGAGGACGCCTGTGCCAGGCACCCAGCCCTGTGCGTTTCGTAAAATGTGCCTCCCGGACTGATTTTGATTTTGTTAATACTTACCTGATGGATTTGTGGCATAGCTGTTTGGATTTATTGTCCATTCTGATTTTTTAAATTGGAAAAACTAATAGGGAAATAAATTAGGCATCCCCCATACGTCCCATTTATCTTGTAAGTGTGCACACAAATATGGGAAAACACATACACGCAAACACCCTCCCCTTCGTACACACATGCATACGCCCTGTCTCTGTGACCCTCCCTCCCCATCTCTGTTCCTGTCTGTCTGTCTGTCTGTCTCTCTCTCTCTCTCTGACTTTCACAAAATTCTAACTTTTCCCAGCATTCCAGTGACTAATTGTTCCTTTTGTGCTTTGCAGAATGGTGGTCGAGCCAAGTCTGCAAGATGAAAGTGAATTCTTGTATGCCGCGCAGCCTGAGTTGCTGAGGTACAGGACGCCACGGCTCTCAGTAGAGAAGGTTATGGACTGGTATCAGACAAGAGCAGAGGAAATAGAGCATTATGCTCGGCAGGTGAGAGGGGGATGACAGCTGCTGCTCTGTGAGGCCAGCAGCAGCGTCGGGCCCTCTGCATTCAGGGCACGCAGTGGCCGCCGACGGTGGTGCCAATATTTAGTTTGCAGACACGAAATGAGTCTCTCTTATTACTTTTGTTCTTTTATCCTTTGCCTCAGAAGCTTTTGTGGGCATTCTTAAAAAAGAGCAAATACATATAAGAAAAGTCATTCAAAATCTTTCTCTAAAATGTAAGCTGAAAAATATGGTGCATACTGTCTCAGATTTTCTGTATATTTTCCATAGGCTTAATAACATATTAGCTGAAAAGACTATATCAACCCGGAAATGCTTGGTTAGCTCCCTGTCACATTGCAGTAATGCAGTTGATTTTTCTTTTGCTTTTTAGAAACTTGGGTTTGAGACTCTGTCTCTGATGTTTTCCTGAAGTCCAAGCCTAATTTCCCTCAGTTCCCCTGTGCCTTTATGGAGCCACATAAGAGCTGCCTCAGAGAGGGGCTGGGGAAGAGAGAGAGGAGATTGTAGGGAAGCATACGAGGTCTATAGACTAAACTTAACCTTTGGCCAACACGCCTTGTACCTCTGGACCTGCCACTTACCTTTTGTGCATGTGGATTTTTTCATGGGGTTAGTTCTTAAACAAGGTCAGTGAGAACAAAGAAAATACACAGGAGAGAACATGAACAGTTCTGCTCATTGAGTGCCTTGCGAATATCAGCACTAGTTGTCTTCATCTCAGAGGACAGGAGTTGGCAGTTCAGAGTGAAGAATGGCAGAAGGCACTTTGAAATCTCATTCAGGGTCTGGCTGTTGGATGACTTTTTCTTTCCACTTGCGCTCTTGGCTCGGGACCACCCGTCCTACCATCAGTTTTCCATTTCATGGGGAGGCTGATTCTGAAGGGTCTGATGCGCAGCAGTACTGTGGGAAGGACTTTCCGTCCCTTTGTTTAAATTTCTTAGTGACTGGCACAGCCCTCTGTCTCCGTTTGATAGCCTTCTTGAATTTCTGCTTAATCTAACTCCTTTTTTTAGTAGTCGTGGAATTGAAGATGAATTATTTAATGGAGCCGATGGCAACATTATAGACCAAACTTTTGGGGGAAGGAGGATGGGCCAAGAATATTTATGACGGACTTTCCTGGTTTTGAAGATGGCTAAGGACCATAGTACATTTGAAAACATTTAGAATCGAAAGGCACCGGAACAGAAAGAATCTCTGGGGGTGCCCCCGTTGTGCTCTTTGGACCTTGAGTGACCACGATGTGTCAGTATAGGTTTATTGACTGTAACAAGTGAACCGCTCCAGTGGGGGATGTAGATAATGTGGGAGGTTGTGGGTAGGTGGGGGCAGAGGCCGAATGGGAAGTCGCTGTGCTTTCTGCTGAGTCTTGCTGTCAGCCTAACACTGCTCTAGTAAGTAAAGTCTATAAAAAAATAAACAGAACAGAAACTGCAGAGCTTTTTGAAATTAAAAAAATTTTTAACGTTTATTTTCAAGAGAGAGAGAGAGGGAACACACTTGCGTGGTGGGGAGGGGCAGAGAGAGAAAGGGATAGAGCAAATTCTCTCCTAAGCAGGCTCCATGCCATCAGTGCAAAGCCTGATGTGAGGCTTGAATCCACGAACCGCAAGATCATGACCTGAGCCAAAGTCGGATGCTCAGCTGACTGAGCCACCCAGGCACCCCTGAAATTTAAATTTTTTCACAGTCTAGCAGTAATCCCTAGATATCTTATAATTCATCTTTTGAGAAATTGAGAATAATCATAAAGAAAAGTGATTTGGGGGTGCTTTATTTATCCACTTTGTAATCTTTTCATCTCTTTCCTTTAATTAAAAACCCTTCTAACAGAAGTTTTGCTCTTTAGCTCCATTTTATTTATTAACATTTCATGTGGCTTATGCTACAGAGTATATCTTACATAGTTTTATCTTTTTCATTTTTAGAGACTTAATTGATGTGGGACTTCCTTTTCCTTAGTGCCTACAAATGCCTTTAGCAGAACTTGTTTGTTGGATTAGAAAATGTGCATAATGTGAAATGTATCCGGTGAGGGGTTGGGGTACGTGGAAAAGTTGAAGTTTTATTAGAGCCGGCTTTCATTTAAGGTGTTAAGTAATTTGGTTTTAAAGCATTTGTACTTCACTAAGTATCTGGGAAGGCAGCAACTTCAAAGTTGGTATTAGAAAAACAAATCTGGGATCACAGAATCGGTGAGTGTATTACAAATTGCTAATGTGCTGTATGTGTTCAAGCTATTAGTTGCACAAAGTTGTGTTTCGTGCATGAGGTTTTCTTCATGCTTTCTGAAAATTCACCTGTGATAGTTTTTTTTTTTAATTGATATACAGGTAGATCTGTCTTTCCAGATATGAACTGTGTTTTTATGAGTAGAAATTAGGTAAAAACCAGATTTATCTGTTGAAGTATTACTAGATCAGTCCTGTTTTGCCTCATGCCTTACTTACATACAGTTTTTCCCTCTTGTGTTTATTGGCACCATATGCATTTCTTTCTTGATTTCATCTGTACCAGTCCATGCCCAGGTCTTATTAGAAGGGCCGAGGGTGGTCCTGTAATATTGCTGGCCGTTCCTGCCTCCCCTTGCACATGCTGCCCCTCCCCGTTCTCTGCTTTTCCCAGTCTACCTCCTCGGCCTCATTCCCACTCATTCCCAGAAGACGGTTTTGCTTGGTGTTTCACTGGGAAGTTTGAGAACTCGTTCCGTTTGTCCTCACTCTTTCCAGCTGTCCCCAGAGAAGGTCTTTTCTCTTGCAGTCGGGCTGCTGGATTCCACGCTCCCACCTGCTCAGGGCTGTTCTGTCATCGCTCCTCTCTCCCTAGGGTCTTCAACCTCCCCTTCTCTGCTGTCACCTTTTTTTTGGTTTTGTTTTTGTCCTAAAGTTCACATCACTCCTGTTTGTAAATACAACCACAAAAAAATTTGAGCCGCAGTCTCCCCGCCTTCGGTTGCAGCTCCTTCCTTGTGTCGCTGCTCAGCTCGGAAGTCGTCCCCTCCGCTCTTCGTGATCACTTCCTCCGTGTTTCTTCGCTCCTCGTTTGTCGGGAGTCTGGCCACCCGGCCGCTCCACCGAAACTGCTTCTGAATGTCACGTCCCCGTCCTCCGTTCCTTCACCGCCTCGCCCTGTGACACCACTGCCTCCTCCCTCCCGCAGGCGCCTCTGCGTGGCCTCCGGGACGCCCGTGCGCTTTCCCCTCCTTGTCCTGGTCTTAGCCATTCGTTTTCGTCTCTTCTGGGTGGCCCACGTCCTCTGGATTTGTCCCTTCAATCTTGCTGTCCCCCAGGGTGCCACTCTTGTCACCAGTAGACAGTCTTCTGACACCAGGAAGTGCAGGTCTCTGAGCTGCTCTGCCTGCTTCCTGTTGACTCCACTTGCAGCTCACCGGTCAGGACCTACTTACGAAGTGCTCTTTCTCAGGTGGGACGTCTGCTCCTGACGTGCTTCACTTCAGAATCCTTTGGTCGTATTTGCATTTCAGGATAACCTGCCCCTTCCTTAGCTCAGCAAACAGTGCTCTTTGTTGTGTGGCGCCTCCCTACCGCCCCAGCCGTGTTTCTCATTGTTTTGCTTCATCCTGTCTTCGGGATCCTGCGGATCGAACTCTACTTTCACAACACGGCACGCGCCACTGCCTTCCATGCTGTTCTCCTGCCTTCCCTCCTTGTGACCTGCTGATAGCCACAGATTCTTTTTTTTTAAGTTTGTTTATTTATTTTGAGAGAGAGAAAGAGACAGCAGTTGAGGGACAGAGAAAGAGAAAGAGAGAGAAAGGGAGAGAGAGAATCCCAAGCACACGCTACACTCAGTGCCCCATGTGGGGCTTGAACTCATGAACCACGAGATCATGACCTGAGCTGAAATCAAGGGTCGAACACTTAACCAAGTGAGCCACCCAGGTCTCCCCAATATCCACGGATTCTTTATAGCACATTTTAAGTGTTCCTCCCTCAGGGGACTTTGTGACACTGGCAGGTGGGGCCACGTGCCCCCTTCTTTGAGGCCCCACTCATCCACACTCTACTGCAGTCTTTGATTTACTGGGTGAGTTTCCCTACGAGGTGGAGAGATCACTGAAGGAAGAAACCTCCTCAGTTTTATATTCCTAACACTTAGAATGGTGCTTGGTTCATGGGAGGTCCTCATAAGTACCTGGAGTCTAGGATTGGGGTGTAAGTGAGTAGTACCAGGTGTGGTGAGTTAAGGCCCCATTAGACGATTTTGCCATCGGCCAAATTGTGTCCTCTCATAAACCTGATCAAATGATAGGGAGTCAAATTGCTGTGTCCTGAGCCTGCCTAGGAAAATTATTCTTCGTTTTGGTCTAAGTGAAGGATAAATATTTGATCTGAGACAGAGAAAATCTCTACCAGAGCCGATCATTCAGCAAGTATTTCCTGAATGCTTTTTACATGGGAGGCGTTGTGGAAGGGGAGGTACCGGACAGGAATATGAAAGCAAACATTTTTGTTTTCGGAGCAGAGTGATATAGTGAAAGTAGGATTAATTTGGCATTATCACTATTTAGCTCCCCCCCGCCACTTGTTAATGTTGTGAGAATAGACAAACTTACGTGAAATTGCTCTTAAATTGTCATGCTCTATGAATTTAAGATGGTTGTGTTTCATTATCCTCAGTATTTCTTGCTGATTCTTTTGAAACAGTTTGCTGATCTATTTGCTAAAGAACTCTATTTTCATACTAAATAAATGTACATTACTGATAATGTGATTTTATAGAAGATGATTTCAGGAATCAGATTCTGTACCAGAGACTTTTACGTTAGAAGATGCGAGCGAGAAAGCACCCAGTCTTCCTGTCGCTTTTCTGTTTCAGGTTGACTGCGCATTGTCACTCATTCGACTTGGAATGGAGCGGAACATTCCCGGTTTGCTGGTTCTGTGTGATAACTTGGTCACCCTGGAAGCCTTGGTTTATGAAGCCGGGTGTGATTTAACCCTAACCTTGAAAGAACTCCAGCAGATGAAAGACATTGAAAAACTACGTTTGCTGATGAGTAGTGTAGGTTTTATTTTAACTTTCTTCTTGAGCTTTCCCTGTGTGCTTGGACTAATGTGGGTCTCAAAGCCAAAGCTAAAATGTCCTCCAAACCCAAGGATTTAGTAAATAAAGGAAGGTTTCTTGACTTAAAAATAAATCCAATTTTTGAATAAGTTACTGAAGACGTCCCCAACTATTTTGGCTGTTCTTGTACCTTGCTTGGCGTTTGTTACACTCATCTGTATATAACTTCTTTTTCTCCTTTTAGCTAGCAGATTTCTCAGCTAGCTGGTCATTTTAGGAGTCATGTTTCTAGTCCTTCACTGTGTTAAAACTCCCAATTACTTCTGTATTTCCCTTATACAAAGGTACTGGATTCAGAGGGCTGGGTGCTTGTGTGAAGAAAACGTCTTGGCTTAGGGGTTCGTAAGGTCAGAAGGGTTTGTCCAGCCACTTTCAGATTTTTCTTGGGTCACCCTGGGGAGGAAGTACACCCCCCAGTGTTAGGACCTGGTTTCTCATGAGCCCACTGAACAGAGAGACACCTTAGAGACCAGAACGCTGGGGCTGTGGGGGGCCAGCTGTCACAGGGCAGCCTGGTTCGAACGGGCCCCGTAAGGGGTGGGGTCCCAGCTGCCCCGCGCGCTCTCCTTCCTCCCCGACTCTTCTCTTTCTTTCTCTCACGTACTTTCCTCTTTGTCTTCCTTCCTTTTCCCCTCTTGTCATCTTTCTGTCTCTTCTCAGTCACCCTTTTCTCTCTCCCTCTGGCCCTAACTTCTGTTTTGCTTGGTAGTTTTTATTTTTCCCTCTGATAATCCACCCAGTGAAAATTGATTTGTGTTACACATAAGTCTCCTCTTCTAGGCTTTGGGTGTTTCTCCTGGGGTAATTGAAAGAAGGAATTCTTAGTTGTCAGGGAGAATGAGTAAAATTATGTGTATCATTTGGAGTTTTGTGAAGGTGGCTGTAAAGGGCAAAAACAAAACAGGAAAGGAGATTCCGGGATTTTGTACAGAAGATTAATCTGAAGAGGTTCCCTTCTAGAGCCTTTTTTTTTTTTTTTTTTAAGTTATTTTGAGAGAGAGCGAGTGTGGTGGAGGGGCAGAGAGAGAGAGAGAGGGAGAGAGAATCCCAAGCAGGCTTCTCACTGTCAGCTCAGAGCCCGGCACGGGACTCGAACCCATGAGCCGTGAGATCATGATCCGAGCTGAAAACAAGAGGCGGACTCTCTCTCTCTCTCTCTCTCTCACTTTACATGCACGTGCTCGCACACGCATACTTTTGGGGTAGAGCCTTTCTTTACTCTGGGAGACCTCACGTTGGAGCAGTAGTAGTAACATGTTTGTCTTCCAGAGCTGGGCTTCGGCTGCGAGGGACCCAGAGTAGCCCTGGTCCTGAAGAGAGGGCCCCAAGGGCACTCAGCTCTACCAGCCCCAGGCTGAAGGCCATTCTCCTGCTACCTCTCAGGCTGCCCCGGAAAGGGGGACCGGAGTGTCCTTTTAAGGAAGTGTTGGCCTTCCCCTCTTTAACATCAGTCTCCTTATCTGTGAGCTTTAGAACTTGTTGTCTGGTATAATCAGGTATTTAATGTGTGTTTGTTTTGGTTAATTGTATTTTCAGTGTTCTGAGGACAAGTATGTGAGAAGTGCCTACCAGTGGATGGTTCCCTTTCTTCATCGTTGTGAGAAACAGTCTCCTGGGGTGGCTAATGAGCTACTCAAAGAATATTTAGTGACTTTAGCTAAAGGGGACTTAAAATTTCCCCTGAAGATATTTCAGCATTCCAAACCAGATGTAAGTAGAAGCTCTAACTTCTTAAAAAATCTTTGCACTTCTTTTCTCTGCATAATTATGTCTTGTCAGTTTGTTACAAGAGGCTTTGCAAGTAACTTTGCTTTAAACAGACAAGGACATGGTTGTCATGTTATTCTTTAAGTGTTTCAGTAATTCAGTCCAATAATGTTTTTGGAAGTTGATATGTATTTTGATGTATTTACTCATAAGTTTCTTGACTTTCTATTAAATCAGTTATATATATAGATGTATATCAATACCAAAAAAACTAATAGTTGATAAATAGTGAATTCTTACTATAGAAAGGCACTCTTCAAGTATTAACCCATTTAATCCTTATAGGAATCCTACGAGGTGGGTATTTTTTATTAATATTGGGGGGAATGAAAATTGAGACCTACTGTGGTTAGGCAGTTGTCCAGGGTCACACAGTTAGAAGTGGAACCTGGGCTCACGCATAGGTATTCTGAATTCACAGCTGTGTTCTTAACCAATATGCTTTGCCCTAGCACCAGGAGAAGAAAAGATTCTCGCCCTTTAGGACCTTCAAAATATTTGTGAAAGTATGTAGGATCTCATAAGGAACTCTGATTATTCTTAAGAACTCTTGTATTTGCTTAAGACCGCTATATAGTTGGCTCTCAAACAACATAGCATTTAGGGGCACTAATTCCCCTCCCCCCATGCAGGCGAAAATCTATGTATAATTTTTGATTCTCCAAGAACTTCAACTATCGGTAGCCTACTGTTGACCTTACCAATTACATAAATAGCCAATTAACACATATTTTGAATGTTATATGTATTCTGTACCGTATCTTCACAAGAAAGTAAGCTAGAGAAAAGAAAATGTAATTAAGAAAATCATAGGGATGAGAAAATATATTTACAGTCCTGTGCTGTATTTATAAAGAAACAATTGGCATGTACATGGGCCCCTGCAGCTCAAGGGTCAGCTGTGTTTATAGCTCCACTGCTGTAGAATTCCAGTCGCTGGTCACACTCACTGGCAGTAAGTCATTTGGTTAAGTGCAGAGTACTTTAGCAAAGTAAATAACCCCTTAATTTAGCCATGGATCAAATATGTTGTTTCAGGAGATAGTGACTCCCTTTCTCTTGGCAGCAGCTCAAGCGGGATGGCATAGCCCCTCAAAGGTGCTGACTTCATAGTGAGGTTCAAGGCGTTGGACTGGGTTTCCAGCAGAGGCCATTGAAGGCCTCTTCTAATCCTGAATTCGAATCGAGTTTATTTCCTTGAGCTAACCTTTATCACAGTCTGAATTCTTCTGAAGTGTATGGTCTTAAACTGTATCATCAAGATTCAAAAGGAAAGCATTGCTTAGCTAACCTAACACATTTTTTGATTTCTGTAAGGGCTCTTTGTCAGAAATATATCTGTTCTTTGGCTATTTAAATTTTTCCATCTTCTCATAAGCAGCTCCCACTTAGTATGCTGGCTTTGAATTTGGGGTGGTTTACTGTGAGCCAAGGGTGGGTTGCTTATGACAGCAGAATACAATGTGAAAAGCAGGATGGATTGGAAATGAATGTTTTATGAGGAAGAAGGAAGTGACTTTAAATTCTTTCTAGTAATCTTGTTTGTGATACTTCTTCCTTACAGAGTCTTATAAATCCTTTGTATGTCGTCAGCTTTTTGTTGTTTTTACTTGGCAATTTAGCATGTGCCTTTTGAATAAAACATACGGCCATTTGCTTTTGTTGAAATATGTAAACATCAAAGCAGAGAACAATGGAGTTGCTGGGCTCTTCCTTTCTGATCCAACCTCTGTATTTCTAACGTTATCTTCCCACAACAGAACTTTGCTCATGTTCTCATGTGCAGATCATGATCGATGGGAAGCCTCCAGTGGCCTACTAGTGCCTACAGGGTAAACTCAGGCTCACTAGAGGGCTCTTTGTGGTCTGTTTCCAGTCTGCCTCTTTAGCCTCATTCCTCCCTGTACGTGAATGTGCTGCTTCACTCACACTGAACTTCTTACCCTGTATTCACCCTGTTGGGTCTTCCATGACTCTTTATGTCTTAATAGACTGTTTCCTTTGTTTGGGGTGGTCCGCTTTCCTTCCTTTCCCTTGGCAGACACGTACCTGTACTTCAAGAGCCTGCTGTCTAAGATTCCCGCTGCTGGGAGACCTGTGACTTCCCTGTGCTGTGACAGGCCTTGTCCCCGCCTCTGTCATAGCCCATGACACGCTATCTTAATTAGCTTCACATGTTTGTCTTTCCCACCCTTGTTTCCTGTCTCTGTTCTCTATCTCTCATGCATCTGTGTGTTGCCAGAGGTCAGTGCCTTGGAAGAGCAGGTGCTCAGTAAGTTTTGTGAGGGCAGATGATGAGCGAGTGATTGAAACTGGGCTTCATTGTGACACGTTAGATCACTTGATTACATTTGTTTGCTTTATTAGGATTGTGCTTGGAGCACTGTTTTTATTTTATTTTACTTGACCCTTTACAAAAAGATCTGCCATGTGTCATGTGCAGAGTATTTACAGCAATATCACAGGAGCAGTGATTTCTGTATTAGACAGCATGGGCTAAGTTATCCTGCATTAACAAATGATCACTGAATCTGAGTGGGTTAGAACAGACATTTATTTCTCACAAGTATTGTATAGGCTGTGGCTGGGCTTCTCCTGTGTCTCACATCTTGTTCGTTCCAGCACGTGGCCAAAAGAGCAGGCCCTTTTTCTAAGCTGTGGCACAGGGAAAAAGAACAAAGTAGAACCACACGGTGGCACTTAACACTTAGCTCAAAGTACGTCACATGACCTTCTGTCACATTTCACAGGCTGGAGGAAGAAGGGAGCGAATATTTGGAAACAGTAATACAAATACGCACTTATCCTTTTAACTGTAATGTATGCTACAAGCTCTTCTCTTTTATAACATCCTGATTTTGAGCACTCCTCTGTGATTTTAAGCTGTTGTTCTTTGCTTGAATGGCTCTTTGGAAAGTGGAATTTGTGAAAGAACTTGGGCAAGTCTGGATGAAGGGGATTTGGGAATAAAATATTCTGCTTTCTCATGTTCTGTCTACTGTACTAGTATTTTTAAAATATGTCTTTGTATGGGAACTATGGACTTAAATTTTTTTTAATTGTGATTTATTTTGAGAGAGAGAAAGAGCGAGCATGAGCAGGGGAGGGGCAGAGAGAGAGGGAAGAGAGAATCCCAAGTAAGGTCCGCACTGTTAGCATAGAGCCTAATGCTGGGGCCCGAACTCACAAACCCTGAGATCATGGCCTGAGCCGATCAAGATTTGGATGCTTAACATACTGAGACACCCAAGCACCCCAGGACTTAAAAAAAAAAGTTTTCTAGGCCCAACCCAGATATAATAGATTAGAATTTGGGGGGTGGGTAGGAATCTGAAATATGCACTTGACAGTCCATCCAGTGATTCTGCTGGAAAACCACTTTTTATATGTTGCCAATAATTCCCACTTCTGTTTTATTGTTCTTCCTGTTGTTGTCTTAGTGATGAAGGTCCCCTTTCATCTGATCGGGAATCAAACTGTTTCATGTTTCAGAAGGACTTTTCTCTTTTCAGTTAATCCTATGTTCCTGCAGCACGGCCCTCCAGGGGCCTGAGTTTGGAAGCTTCGGGTGCTGACCTTGGCCCTGTATCCCAGCAATGGCATAAATGGGAAAGTCTACTTAATGCTTTATACTCTTGTCTTCAATTTCCTGCTTGCCTACTTTTGGCCCACACTCCTTAGGGAATTGAAAAGTTCATACTCTACCATGCAGTCGAGTATGGTAGCCTCTAGCCATGTGTGGCTGTATAAATTAAAATAATAAAATAAAATATTCATTTATTCAGGCTCACTAGCTTTCTGTTATTTCTGGTATTTTGTAATCACAAACAATGCTACAACGAATAACCTTGTTCCCATGTGGTTTTATGTCTTTCACGTTTATTTATTTCTGAGAGACAGAGACAGAGCATGAGTAGGGGAGGGCCAGAGAGGGAGGGAGACACAGAATCCAAAGCAGGCTCCAGGCTCTGAGCTGTCAGCACAGAGCCCGATGGGGGCTCAAACCCATGAACTGTGAGATCATGACCTGAGCTGAAGTCTAACGCTTAACCGACTGAGCCACTCAGGTGCCCTGGTTTTGTGTTTTCGGTAGACCTTCAAGGTGTATTCCTGGAATGAGCATCCTGAGTTTAAAAGCAAGGGTTGTGTTGGTATTGCCAGATTTTTCTCAAGGGGGGTCGGTCCATTGGACATTCCTACCAGCAGTATAGGACCATGCCTGCTTCTCCGCAACTTTGTGGACAGAATTCATTGCCATATTTTAACATTTTTGCTAATGTGGTAAGTGAAAAGTGGTATTTCAGGGGTGTTTTAATTTGCATTTAATTATCAGTGAATTTGAAATGTCCTCATATATTTGAGGGAATTTTTCTCTTTTTTGGTGAATTGTCTGTTCCTGTCTTTTCCCCTTTTTTCATTTGGAGTTTTCTTCCTTTGTGCTTTACTTTTGTAGAGATTCAGATACATTGGCATAATTAGCCCCCTTTTTTTGTGGTGTGCATTGTATATATTTCTTCCAGTTGATAGATTTTCTTTTGACTTTGTTGCTGGTGGAGTATGTCAGACAGAATTTTTTTATGTATTTATGGGGGGTCAAATCAAGCAATGTTTTCTTTTTTCTTTTTTAATTTTTTAATTTTTAATTTTATTTTTTTATTTCTGAGAGAGAGAGAGAGACAGCGTGAGCGGGGACAGTCAGAGAGAGGGGGAGATACATACAGAATGTGAAGCAGGCTCCAGGCTCTGAGCTAGCTGTCAGCACAGAGCCCGATGCAGGGCTCAAACCCACAAACCGTGAGATCATGACCTGAGCCGAAGTCGGAGGCTTAACCGACTGAGCCACCCAGGCGCCCCGTGAGCAATCTTTTCTTGCCTTTGAATTATGAGTCCTGGTGAGTAAGCCTTTGCCTCCTCCAAGGTCAAAGAAAAATCCACTCCTTTCTTCCAGTACTGGTATGATTTTATTTTTATGTGTGGATCCATAATCTACTTGGAGTTCATGCTTTTGTGTGGTGACGTGAAAGTCTGATTTCTTGTCTCAGATGGCTACCTAGTTGTTGCAGCACCATTTATTACAAATTTGGTCTTTTCTTGAGTGGTTTGAGATGCCACCTTTGTCTTCTATCACATTGCCATTTAGTCGTTCTAATTCTAGAGTTTTTTATTGTTACTGGTTTGTACACTGGGACCACACTGTTTTAATTACAGAGATTTTCTGGTGTGCTTTTAAAGGCTGGTGAGGGTAGTATTCCTCTATAGGTTTTTTTTTTAAATCTATTCTTATAAAAGTTTGTTTCTTCGTCTGAACTTTAGTGCAACTTGTTTGATTCCGTAAAATAGATTGTGGGTATATTTACTGTGATTATATTAATTTCATAAATTAACCTTGCAAGACTAATATTTATTTATTTAAGTTTGAAGGTTTATTTCCTTTATTTATTTATTTCCTGCATGTGCACAAGCATGAGCTGGGAAGGGACAGAAAGAGGGAGAGACCAGTGTCTCTGTAACATTCACCCATCCTGTTTGAAAAGAGGGGGTATCATTCTGTTTGTTCATGTCTTTTTTTACTGTCTTTCAAGAATATTTGAAAATGTTCTTCATGTAGCTTGTGCACATTTTTTGTTAAATTTATTCGTAAGCATTTAATTTTTTCTTTTCCTATTATAAATTGACTTTTCCCTACCTTCACTTCCTCTGTTGGTTTCATATAGGAAAGGTATTCATTTTGTATGTTAATTTTGTATTCTGCCACTTCACTGATTCCTTATATTGCTTCATTCTCTGAGATTTTCCAGGTATCCTTTGTATCATCTGTTCTTCATTTACTTACCTATTGTACGTAATTTTAAGACATTTATTTATTCATTCATTCATTCATTTAATGTTTATTTTTGAGAAAGAGAGAGAGAGAGAGAGAGAGCTCCAAGGGGAGTGGGGCAGAGAGAGAGAGAGAGAGACACAGAATCTGAAGCAGGTTCCAGGCTCTTGGCTGTCAGCACAGAACCTGACGCAAGGCTCAAACCCGTGAGCTGCGAGATCATGACCTAAGCTGAAGTCGGGTGCTTAACCAACTGAAACACCCAAGACTATTTTTAAAAATAAAATTAGAATTTTCTTACATTTTACCTTGCTGCGTAGCATGGGGAATCATCTGTGGCCCATGGTGAGGATGACTCACTGAGGATGACTCACTGACTTCTTAGAAACTTTTTAAGGTGTTCTTTTCTGTTAGCTTGAGTGGGGCAAATGATGGTTTACTAGTCACCACTGAGATATGAGGGCAGCATGATGGAAGTAAGAGTCCATATGTTTTATACTTTATGAAGTTAGACGTCTTGTAGGTAGTCGAACATTGTGAGAATGGTAAGTGACTTAAAATTGTGATCATTACAATTTATGTGCTAATAGTTTGTATTAGGACAGATCTGCTGAATGGCACAGGAAGTGAACAAAAAGATGCCAGTAGGAATATAAAGAGGAAAAAGAATTTATGTATCAGGGTAGAATGGGGATAGAGTCTTTGGACTAACAGTTATTGAGGCTACAGAAATCTAGGAAAGTCCAATTGAAGTCCAAGCCAAGTGGAGAGAAAACTGGATTATTAGGGGTGTTTTAGATAGGGCAAGACTAAGTTTTTGAGAAGTTCCCAATAGGGGTAGCCTAAGGCAAGGAGACGTAATCAGACTAATAGCATGTTTAGATAAAGGCAAGTAATTGAATTTGAGTGAACTAAAATTTGCATAGTTTCATCAGACCAGAGGGGTAAGCTGGCACCAGGCCACGAAGAACTTGAGCAGAAGGCAGAAAGTTCATTCTTGACCTTTCACATTGTAGGATTTTGAAAGGGTTTTCAGCAGGGAATTTTGAGTATATATGATCAAGTATGGACTTTAGAACCTTTAACGTCCAAGTGATACTTTAAGGTCACGGGGAGGGAAGTACAGGAAGCAGGAGAATCAAGGGAAACACCAAGGAGTTTGGCTTCCATTTCAGTTGGTTTTCCAGTTACTCCTTTTCGTTCAAACTGGTTTGTTTCTTCATTTTTCTGTAGGAGTTTGTTGATTACTGTAGTTTTCCTCAGTCTCTCTCATTCTTCCTGTGACATTTTCCTGCGGGGGTGTGAGAGCCAGTATTGCTTAGCCCAGGCTTTGCAGCCAGTTGCCTGCATTTGACTCCTGACCTGATTATAGCCAGCTCTGTGCCGTGAGCAATGGTCTCTTGGTGCCTCAGGTTCCCGTTTATGTAGAATCAAAATAGAACTAGTATTAACCTTACAAGGTAGTTTGAGGAATTGAGAATTCATGCATGTGAAGCACATAGAAATAGTACCTGGCACACAACAAGAAGTCAGGAGAAGTTACCTACTTTAATTAACTAAATAATAATGACGTATTGTGTGCCCTGTTTGTCTCTATTTAACCAGTCTATCACTTTGCAACCTTGGATAACTGTCAAATGTCGATGTCAAATTAGTGGGATGTTTTTCTCTTAACACCTTAAAGAAATCTGTAGAACTCCTATAACCATACAGAAAACTGTACTTCCCTCATAACCTTGAATGTTTCTTCTTCCCATCCATCAATATGATTTTTTTCCAGTGAAAAGATGCTTTTGTTTGGGAACTTCTTTCCATCACTTTCTTATCTGTTTTGTGAATTTCTGCTAAAATGCTGAAAACCACTAGTCTTTATTATGGAAATTATTTTCTCATTGAGTACCCGGGTTCTAAACTTATTTTGTCATTGAATAGGGCTCTAAGAATATAGTTTCATGGAGGGGAGGCACTTGTTGGGATGAGCACTGGGTGTTATATGGAATCCAACTTGACAATAAACTATGAAAGGAAAAAAAAAGAATATAGTTTTTACTTTCCATTTTCATTTCTTTGTTGGTAATCATGTAAGCCTTCTTCACATAATAATTTATTTAGTCCTCACAACAGTGATGTTAGGAAGGTGTTGTTAATACCCATTTGTATAGATGAGAAAAACAAGGCACAAATATGGTATTTTTATATCCTAGAAAATACTCCACGAATGGGAGTCTGATTTGTGATGGGAAGGGTGTATCCTATAGAAGACTGACCCAAAGTAGCCGTTGTTTCTGCACCAGAGTGTGCTCTGTGATTTGAATATTACTGCATTATAGTGTGACTTCTTTTGAGTAGAATGTCAGTGCTGTTTAGTTACATGACTAATACATAATGCATACTGAAAAATAGTAGGCTCAAACATCTCTGAATATTAGTTAAGGAATTTTATATATTTCTGTAATTGAAACACATAAAATTTGGCTTTAGGGTTAGAAATGTTTTTAATGAATTGCCTTTTTAATTCGCTGTGTTTCTTCTATCTACTTTATCTTGAATGGGTCATAAATTGAAGAATCTGTTTTCAGCAGATGCAAAGCTTATGGGTACAAATTATCTTTTCTAGCTGATTCTGTAATTAAAATGTGATTTCATTTAGAATTATGAAAGACCCCAAAAGTCTGTAAGCTACAGAAAAATCAAGATTTGTTTTTGCGGCTGATTAATTGCACTATTTAATATTCTATTGACAGTGGTACTGGGCAATGAAAAATCTGACTATAAATCTGACGGTTAGTACAGCATGCTTTCTTTTCTCTAGCTGCAGCAAAAAATTATCCCTGATCAGGACCAACTGATGGCAGTCGCCCTAGAGTGCATCTACAACTGTGAACGAAATGACCAGCTGTCCCTCTGCTACGACATATTAGAATGTCTTCCACAACGAGGATGCGGGTGAGAATCCACCGCGCGCAGTCTCGTGGTCGCCGCTTTTGTCCTTACAGCCGAAACGAAAATGTCGTTTCCCTGAGTGTTCATGAGAGAGAATCTGGGGAGTATAAGAAAAGTATAGAAGAAAACGAGATCATCTGCAAATCTGTAGACCTAAAGATAAACACTTGTTTTTCCAACAGTATATGAGCAGTCACTGGAATTCTGTCAACCTTCATAAATTATCCATTAAAAAAACAAACAAAAATACCACCACCACAACAAAAAATACTTTTTTAGTACCTAGACAGTGATACCTGTTTTCAGTTGTGTTTCTCATGACGTTTTTTTTTCCCCCCCATGTTTATGGGCTTGTGGTATTCTAGGAATGATTTGTTCTCGACCCTTGCCTGCAGTAATTGTGTTAAGTACTAATGTATGAATATAAATGATTTTATTTTACTTTATTTTTCTTTCAATTTCATTGAGCCGTTATTAATATACAGCACTGTATACATTTGAGGTGTTTAACTTAATGACTTGATATCCAGACATCGGAAAGCAACCATAGTCTGTTTAGTTAGCATCCCTCATCTTCTACAGATACAAAAATAAATAAATAAAAATAAAAATGTTTCCTGTCTTGCAGTGAGATCTTTTACTCTCCTAGCAACGTTGAACTATAGCCTGCAGCAGTGTCGTGGGTGGTTTAAGTTGGTTGCCCAGATTGTTCCTTGGCTGGACTGTGTCGCTACATAACCACCCTAGAACCTTCTGTCTCTTACACCTGGAAGTTTATACCTTTTGACCACCTTTATCCAGTACCTGTGCCACCCACTCCTATCGCCTGTAACCATACATCTGATCTTTTTCTATGAGTCTGTTGTTATTGTTGTTTTTGTTTCTTTTTAGATTCTACATATAAGTGAGACCACCTTACAGTTTTTATCTGTTGTTTTTGTTTTTTCTAGATTCCACATTATAAGTGAGACTGTCTTACAGTATTTGTCCGTCTTTGTCTGACTTATTTCACTTCGTACAGTGCCCTTAAATCCTGTTCATGTTGTCATAAATGGCAGGATTTCCTTCTTTTTTGTGGCTGAATAGTATTCCACTGTGGATATATAAATAGCGCATTTTCTTCTTTCATACATCTATTGATGGGCACTTAGGTTGTTTCCATGTCTTGTCTGTTGTGACTAATGCTGCTCCCTTTCTCTTTTCCTTCTAAGGAAATTCTTATTTTTTCTGAACTGAATGATAGAAATCACCAATTTTGCACGTGGAGGCATTTTTATTTGAAGACTGTCCCATGTCAGAAAGATCCCAGAACGGCCCCTTTAAACTTGACAGCAGGCTTGGCTGTGTCTGCACTTTATCATTGTCTTCTCCCTGTGAGTTTTGAAGGCATCTGTCCTGCCCTCTCCTGCCAGCGTCGTCGCTCCTGTACCGTTCTAACTCACTACTTCCTAGATGGCTTTTCTTCCTGTCTGCATGTTTCAGCACCTTCTCGTCATCTCTCATGTTCTGAAATATCATACGGGTGTGTTTTATTGTGAGTCTAAATGCCTTGTGATGCTTTTCATCTAGTTAGTCCATTCCAATCTGGAAACTCTTGTCTTCCGGATCGTTGGGAAATTTTCTTATATTCTTTCCTTGATAAGTTTCCTTGGTAATTTTATTTTTACTCCTTTCCTTTTTTTTTTTTTTTTAACTCTCTTTCTCCATTTTTTTTGCACTTTCTTCTTTGTTTACTACCCCTTTTATACTTTTTCCCTACTTTTTGATCTTTTGTTAAATGATCTAGGAGTTTCTTCAGTTTTATCTTCTCATCCCTCCTTCAAATTTTAAATTTTATTTTTGCTTTATTATTTAAATTCCAGAAACTTTTAAAATAAAATAGTATCCTAATCTTGTTTCAGAGACGCACATGTACCCATTCCTCTGTTCCCTGTGTTACCCACTTTCTCACCCTGGTCTCATTGTTCATATCCTGTTTGTTTGTATCTCTGCTTTTACTGTTATGGACTTTCCTGCATGTTGAGCAATTTTTGGCCATTAATTTATATCTAAGACATGAAAAAGCTGATTGGAAGCCTGTGCCCAACTAAACCCTTTTCATCGTAGTTGCACTTGGGGAGTCGACTTGTATGGGAGCATCTTGTTTGTCCTCGTTTCAGGGCTCAGTTTGGATATTTGTGTGTGTGTGATGATTGTGGATTCTGTCCCTTATGTTGTAGGAAGGTCAGGTAGTTTGTAGATCTTGATGATTCATCTCACCTCATCAGGGGTCTCAGTACTGACCACCAAGAAGGAATCCAAGCAATTAGACTCGTCAGTGGTAAAGCTGAGTGGAGACCATAGAGTGCTCAATGCGTCCTTCCCTCCGTCGGTCTAGGTTTAAGGAGCGTCACGTAGGGAAAGGTAAATCACAGAGTGACTGTGTGTGAATTTATTACCTGGACCTAGACATCTATGACTATGGTCCATCTCCCATCCTTAGTCAAGAGCAGTGGGGACAGCACGTGTGTCTCTGGGAACCGTGGGCCTCTTTGAGAGCCACGGGCCTTCAGTAGGCAGCAAACGGACGGTAGAGGGAGTGTATTAACAGATTATCAGGGTGTTCGTAGTAAAACTGCGCTTTGTGGAGGGTACAAGAGCTGCAGAGGCCTCTCTTAACATCTGTGCCCAAGAGCAGAGTGATGGGAGTTTTGTCCTGAGATGGCCCAACTGGGAAGCTTGATGGTCTCCCTTGCAGCTTTGTGCCTCCGTTGTTGCCTTTGAATCAGCTATCAAACTCCTTGACGTCTGAGTAACGTGTGTGATTTTTAGGAATAAATGTATTAGACTTTGTTTTTCAGTAAGATCAGTTCAGCATAAATATCAACTAGAGCTTATCTATTATTTTTAAGCTATAATTTGCCTACTGTACAGTATCAGTGGAATGATATTAAAAAACATTTTTTAATGTAGACATTATAGTTAACATTACAGAATTAGTGTGGTTTTGAGCAGTGTCTAGGCTAAGAAATGGCTCTTTGTCTTGGCTTCAGATTAATGATTTCTTATCTAACAGATTTTTTTTTGTAAATACAAAAAATAGCTTGACACTCTCTTGTTTTCCATTTATTTCTTAATGATTATATTTCACATTTATAATTTTCTAAATAACTTGTCATTTTTAGTTAGCCTCATATTAAAACATAGAGCTTCAAAATATTTTCTGTGGTTCTCTTTGTTCTTTTTTTTTTTTTTTTTTTTTGGTTCTCTTTGTTCTTCATGCCAAGTTTGTCTGTTTGTATTTTGCCTGTGATTAGTTGTTTGTTTTTAGTGGTTACATAATTACTTACCAAATGGTAAACTATGGGTTTTTTTTGCCATGAAATGAACACTTATTTAACCTCATTAATGTTTTGTGTATCTTACGTAGGCAGCATATTCCATCTGGCTGGAAAAAAAAAACAAAACCTTATTATGTTTGTGGATATCAATTCACAACAGAAGAACACCGTCTTCTTGAAAGCCGGTGACAAATGTTTATTGTAGAGCTACAAAATGATAGTTAAGAAATTACTGTCATGTGTTAATAGAAGGTAGCTGTGACAAATGACTTTCTGGAGAACTTTAAGTGGAACGTACCCTAACTTAAAACTCTAGGTCAAGGCCTAAAACTTGGTTTAAAAAGATAGTGTCATCTTTGTAAACTGCATCAATAACTGCCAAATGGATTTAGACCAAAAAAGATAGATAGTTTTGTAAGTAATGACTCTTTTTGTGTTCAAGTTAGGACATTTTAAATTTTCGAAGTCCAGATGAAGAGTTTTATTTGTTTGTCTTACTAATAAAACCTGAGACCTTGCTGGGATTCAGTTGTATTCTTGGGGGGGAGAGGGGGTGCTGGGGAGCGTCAGGTGCAGTGCTGCTCCACTGAGAGCAGTCCCTCCATAGTCGAGACACAGAGTTGTGCAGGATGGAAGGGGACTTTTATAGTAGTATCTCAGCTTTTGTGCCAAATCCCTGCATTCACTTGTATGTGTGTTGTGCCATACTAAACCTGCTCTTCCAGCCACATTTTTATTAGTGTATGATCTTTGTCATATTAGTGTATGATGTTTCTCCTAGTCCCCTGTCCACATGCTTTCTCAGAAAGGCCTTGCTTTCTTTAATATAATTTATTGTGAAATTTGTTTCCATACAACACCCAGTGCTCATTCCAACAAGTGCCCTCCTCTATGCCCATCACCCACTTCCCCCTCTCTCCCATCCCCCATCATTTTGTTCTCAGTATTTAAGAGTCTCTTTCTTTTTAAAATGTTTTTTAATGTTTGTTTATTTTTGAGAGAGAGGAAGAGCATGAGTGGGGGAGGGGCAGAGAGAGAGGGAGACACAGAATCCAAAGCAGGCTCCAGGCTCTGAGCTGTCAGCCCAGAGCCCGACAAACTGTGAGATCATGACCTAAGCCAAAATCGGATGCTTAACCACCTGAGCCACCCAGGCGCCCCTATTTGAGAGTCTCTTATGGTTTGCCTCCCTCCCTCTCTCTAACCTTTTTCCCTCTCTTCCCATCCCCCATGGTCTTCTGTTAAGTTTCTCAAGATCCACATATGAGTGAAAACATACGGTATCTGTCTTTTTCTGACTGACTTATTTCACTTAGTGTAATAAATGCCCTCCAGTTCCATCCACGTTGCTGTAAATGGGAAAGGCCTTGCTTTTTATCTCCACTACCTTCTAGGGATCATCTACATGATAGCCTTGATTCTTTTTGGTTCCTTAACACCGAAATGGATGCAGAGGGGATGATGACATAGAAGAAATCTTCTGAGTATATAAAATCCTAATGGAAACTTCTAGGGGGTGGTGGGGCTATAGGCAGGCCTCGGAGAAAGTGAGTGTACACATGCAGGGCCATGCTCCTAACCTGTTTCCTTGGCTAAAAGAACAGAACTAAATGGTGATTTTACTTTCTACATCTTCTTAAAAAAAAAAGACTAAAATTAACTTATAATTCTTTGTTGCCTTTTAGCAGAATTAAACTAAAAGTTCTTCAGTAAATAGCTGTCCATATCATGCTAATCAGTAATAGAGAATATCATTCTAGCCCAGTATTTTTTTTTATCTTAATCTCTTGAGTCATGAAAGATGCTAAATGCATTCAGAAGATAGGACTAAACTTTTGCTCAGGCAATGTAATATTGTTGTATATTAACTATAAAAGAAATATCATTTCTTTTTCTCACTTGAGTCTTGTATTTTATATGAGAAGCTACTCTTAAAACTTAATTTTAATTTTTTTCCTCTTAATCCTTTAGTCCTAAAACCGAGGTAACAACGGCTCTTCATGATATGGTAGACCAACTGGAACAAATTCTCAGGTGAGAAGAATGAGTCTGTTGGCTCTGTGCTGAGGGAGGAGGTCTGTCCAAGAAATGTTACCTCTAATATGTCTAGTGGTCATTGCCGGTTTGGTTTTCTATTTGTTTGACTCTCTTGGGGGTACATTTTCTTAATGCAAACGTACTGCTAGCCTATGTAGAATAAAAAGAGCCTGGACTTTGAAGACTGATGGACCTGTGTTCAACTCTAAGCATTGCCACTTACAAGCTCTGTGATCTTTGAGCCTTGGGTTTCCTTATTTACAATATCAAACTCATGAGATTATGGAATTAATGTTGATAAAGCATTTAAAATGCCTTCTATGCAGTAGAAGTAGGTAAACAAGAAATGTTAGTTTCTGCAGCAATTATTGTATCTATCAGCAGACCATATTTATTATACTCCTTGCTTTCATTTTTTGGGCATATTGCATTTGATTGACTATCTGAATTAGATCACACTGCACCAGAGACTTCAAGTAAATCTGTGGTAATATTCTTTACTGTCAAAATGAAGCATTAAACTTTCTATCTTGGAGCCTGAAATCTCCCAATTTACCATTTAGGAAGTCGTGTGTTGTTTACTAGTATTTATATGTGTATGTGAAGATGCTTGAGTAATTTTTAAATATCTGTATTAAAATTTTAGAGATAACAATTTTTTCCAATATATAATTATAGAATAATAGGTAATACCATCACTTTATACTGGTGATATGAATAGTAAAGTATAATTTGGAGTCTACTAATTAGAAGTTTTATTCACTCAATTTAAGGGGCTTGAATATAAAAATGTTTCAGGTTGTATTTAAGGAAACCGTGTTTTTGTGTTCCGTGTATGTATGGGAATTTAATGAAGAATTAATTTTTCAGTTTCCTCCAGACCTGTTTCATTGCCTAGCGTGATAGGTGTTACTTTGTGTTCTGAAAGCTGTAGTTGTTTTTTTTTTTTTCTTGAAAGATGCTTAATCAAGCTCTTTCTTTCTTTTTAAGCTTTGCTTATTTTAGGTTGGCTGTGTTTCTTTTCTCCCCAGTGTCCCTGAAAAGTTGAGCATCGTTTGAATAAAGCACAGTGGATTAAGTCAATATAGAATCCTTCCTTACAAATTGAGGAATACCATTTTTTTTCTCTAATGAAATTGATAAGATTTATCTCAGAAAGATACAGTGAAGTAAACAGTATCTTTCACCATACGTTCCCTGAGCATAACCATGAGTGGCTCTGATGCCACAGCACATGCTCAGGACCTCAAGGAAACAGTAAGAGTCTGTTGGTTTCTGGATGGTACCCATGCCTTTCCCTCTTTAGTTTGTCACTTTTTAAAATAAGAACTTTTTATTCCCGTTCCACGTCATAGCCACTAACTGTTGAAAAATCTTTTAGCATACGTAATGTCAGGTGACGTATTTTTATGAGACGTGTTTTTATGAAGAGCAAGTGAAGTTTAACAGTCACCGTTTAAGTCCAGTAGTGGTTAATTCATACATGTGAGGTTCGGTGAGGCAAACCAGGGCTCAAGAAGATTCATCTGAGACAAAATTTGTGATACATTTTGTATTTTTATAGAATATATTTTGGAGGGAGATAGAGTCTTGTGATGTTTCTGGAGCTCCAACTCTAGAATTGTTTATTACTTTTCTAACAGCCTTGCCTGTAATAAGTTACTCAGCAGGTTTGTTCAGAGCTAAAGCTGGGTGTTGAAATGATAGATTTTGCTTGTTTTACTGATTTGATGCTTTTAGAGTACAGGAAAATTACAAAAACTATTTTTAGATAAAGAGATGTCATACTTCAAAAAATAGTTACTAGTTCTAAGTACATTGTCATAAAAGTATGGGAAATAAAATTGGATACATAATGTTAACTTTTTTGGCCGAGAATTCATGTTCTATGTAAAATTGGGTCATTTTGTATGCGTGTATATATATATAAATATATATAAATTTTTATATATATATACATATTTTTTTAATACTAAACACCTAATTACTGCTTCTATGTTTAAGATTCTTAGACTTTTTTTGTTTGGTAGCAAGGCTTTAAAAAATCCTTTTCTCACTTTTTTAGTGTGTCAGAGCTTTTGGAGAAACACGGACTTGAGAAACCGATTTCGTTTGTTAAGAACACTCAGTCCAGTCCAGAAGAGGCACGTGCGCTGATGGTCAGATTGACCAGGCATACTGGCCGGAAGTAAGTAATGAACAAAATTAATCAGTGTTGTATGTATATGATTGAAAATAGTACTACTTTTTTCTTTCTCCCTCCCTCCCTCCCTCCCTTCATTCCTTCATTGAGTTTTAACTGACCAAAAATAAAGTGCACGTGTTTAAATTGTAGAATTTGGTAAGTTTTGATATATGTATATACTCATGAAACCATCTCACAATCAAGGTAATAAATATATCCGTCACCCTTAAAAACTGCTTTTTGCCTCATTCTTCTCCCTCCCTTCTGCGTCTCCCCATCACTCCCTCACCCCTTCCCTAGATGACCACTGCTCGGTTTTCTGTTGTACATATTACTTGTTGTACATCATACTTCGTTGACCTGTTCACCGGTTTATGGATAGGTGGGTTGTTTTGAGTTTTGGCTTTTACAGATAAAGCAGTGAGTATTTATGTACCATAAAGGATTCCTAATATTTTGTTTTCTTGTGTTATTATAAATAGAATTATTTTCTTAATTTCATTTTTGTATTGCTTATTCCTAGTGTATAGAAATATTGATAGGTGTTAATATATATTATTTTTTAAATGTTGATATATATTGAGCTGTGTCTTCCTACCTTGCTGGACTCCTCTATTAGTTCCAGTAGATTTTCCTGAATATTCCATTGGATTTTCTGTAGACAATATTATGCCATCAGCAAATAGAGTCAGCTCTAGTTCTTTGTGCACAAGTTTTCTCTCTCTTTCCTTTTGTTGGTGTTAGCATGATCTATCTCTTGGTATATAGCTTAGTGTAGCTTTTACATTTAATTGATTTGTGGTTTTGCATTTGAAGTCTGTTTTTTGTAGGTAGTATATAACTTAGGCCTTTCTGTAAAAGCCTGGGCTGGAGGGAGCCAAGCTGCCATGTGCTGCTTAGTTATGCCAGGAATGTAAAGGAATTAAGACCCATCAGACCTACTTCTAAACAGTAACAGCCATGAGGTGGTAGATGGATAAACGGACACCATCCAGATGTCTCCGGGAATCCTGAGCCCAGTCAACAGTAGTAAACTGCTTAGCGGTTTGCTCAAAGAACTCTCCTTCCTAAGAAATTTCCTGGTGTTTTGTATCTGTCTCTCTGTTTCTCTGCCTTTTTCAATAACGGTGTAGTCCTAGTGATTGATGTGTGTGCCTTATGTTCCTTTCAAGATCATAAGCTTCTCTAGGGCAACTGTTACAGTTCCCATACGTTGAATATGGGACGTTATATATCAATGGTCCACTCCCAATAATTATTCAATGAATAATGTAAAAAGTTTTGGCAACTCAAGTCTTAAGATTAAAAAAAAAATGTTTTTTTTTTATAGTTTATTTATTTTTGAGACAGAGACAGACAGAGCATGAGTGGTGGAGGGGCAGAGACAGAGGGAGACACAGAATCTGAAATAGGCTCCAGGCTCTGAGCTGTCAGCACAGAGCCTGACTCGGGGCTAGAACCCACAAACCATGAGATCGTGATCTGAGATGAAGTTGGGCACTTAACTGACTGAGCCACCCAGGCGGCCCTTAAGATTTTTTTTTTGAACTATAAACAAATGGTCAATATTTCTGATCATGTCGACTCGACTCTAGAACCTCCTCTTCAAGAAAGCTTTGCTGTTGCAGCTAGATCACTCCTTGTGTTTCCCTTGAGTCCCTCAAATACTCTGAGGTCCTTGAAGTTAATCTCTCCTCATGGTTGGTCTACTTTGAATATATAAGAGAATATGGCCTTTTTTTCCAACTAGTTAATTTGAAGTGAATCTTAATTATTCCATGTATGCTACCATGGCTTGGCCTTCAGCATCAATGGAATATTCTTATGCATATTCTAAATGGTAGCAGATTTCATTGAATCTGCACAAATCAAGTTATCCCATCTTGAGTGCAATGCTATTTCTCCCTAGAAAATATTCCTCTGTTCAAGGCTGTAACTAATACATCATGTTTGTATTTAGGGATCTTTGTTAATTTTCAAATCTCTGGTATAGTGCCTTCAGGTTCTACTTTTGGTTCATGTTTACTGAATGTCTTCTGAAAAGGCCATTGTAAATAATGTCTTCTAATTTATTTTAATTAGAACCTGTACTTATGGCTAGCCATGTGTGAGAAAACATTAATACCATCTGTCCCATTGTTGATGGCTTCCAGAAGAACAGCTGGGCTATGAGAATTTGAATGGAGTTAGACAGTGCCTGGGTTTGATTTTATCCAGCTGGTGCAAGATGGACGGACACTCACTTCAAACATTTTGCAACTTATGTACCTGCAAGCCAGATCTGAAAGAGCCCTCCGTTTCTTGGAGTTCACCCAAAGAGTTTACCTACCAAGGTCTAAGTAATGGACACATGACATGCAAATGTGTCTGGTTGTTTCTTTTTTTCCTGTTTATATGCTAGGTGAAAAATGTATTCTCTTATGCTTTATTGCATATGGGATACAAGTAATTATATGTTTTGTGTAATAACTACAAAATACTATAAGCAAATGAATCAATGCTTATAAAAAATTGTAGGTGAAAAAATTCCTAGAGACCAGAGATTTTACAACAATAATCCCAAACACATACTTTCTCTATAACAATAATCTTATATACAAATAGTCTATTTGCCCCATTTTAAAAATGACATAAAACAGGGAGAAGGTGTGTGGTAAAGAAACATCCAGTTGGTTTATGATAAACACAAGTCAAAATAAAACAAAACCTGCCCTTTTCAAACAATGAGATTAATGGTAATATAGCACAACAATACTCGCAAGTAAACAAATAATTTATTCCATAAATTCATGTGTGTTCAATGAAGGTGAATTTTGGGGGAGGCAGAGAAAATCATAGGATTTTCTCCTTCCTGCTAAACAATATTAGCAGTAGTGTATATAACTATAGAAACTGAAGAAATGTGTTTATAAGTCTTGGATTCCTTCATTAACATTTATTGGATACTGTTTTATACCAGGAAAATGGAGGGGGTATCTCTTCATATTGTAGTTTCAGTTAATGCTCACACTGTACAAATAGGGAATCTGTAGCTCAGAGAAATTAAGAGACCTATTCAAATCTGTATAGGTGATTGAGCTTGTTTTTATACTTAACATCTTGCTTCAATGCCTGTGTTTTATTAGAATTAATCTCCATTTTTTTATCACTTTCCACGATGGGTTTTAAGTGAGGAAACCAAAATTCAGGAACATTCAGTGTTTACAATCATGCAACTCATCTGTGATTATTAGCAAAATTGTTAACAAATCCTTTTCCCCTGCTGCAAGACAGTCTGAACCATTGAATTCTCTAACTCTATAACCCTGTGCTCCAACTGGAAATGGTATTTGATCGGTGAGAGTGTGTGTGCCTTACTGGTTGTGTAAACCTGGTCCCTGGCTGGTAAATTGCTTCTGACCCGGAGGAACTGGAAAGGAACTAGAAAACCTGATAGGGGCTTTGTGCTCTGGGCCTTCCTGAGTGTGGTCACTGACATGTCCTTGAGGAGACCCCGAAAATGGTGCCTATGGAGTCGTCATAAACGATGCTGATTCCTGAGGGGCAGGAAACTTCCTCCTGTCACTACCCGACTGCCCTCTAAGGCTCTGTCTCCTGGCACCCGGGCTGTCCCCCGGGTGAACACAACCCCTGCGGTGCCCGGTAGAGCGCTCTGTGGACTGCTGCAGGGCCTGGTCCCCAGCCTCTCGGCGGATGCCGGGGTGAGCGAGGTCCAGAAGGTGCCCTGTGGGGTGTCGCGGTGTGATGGGGATGGGTTTGAAACCAGTGCTCTGGTGTCCAGGCGCTTTTCCCGCTGTACCTTGCTGTGCTTTATCTTGGAAACTCACAGCTTGTTTACCTTTGCTGTTGTCACTTACTGCTGCCCCGGTTTGATGCGTAGGCAGCCTGTGACCCAGGCAGCTCTGGCCGCGTCGCTAGCATTGATGCAGAGCCGCTCAACTTTCCCCTCAGATCCAAGTTGTTTCCTGGAAATTCAGAGATTATACCTGTGGATCACGTGGGTGCTGTGTGGCACACAGAATGGTGATGCCGATGTTTTTTTGTTTTTCGGTGCTTTTTTGCGTTTGGCTAACTGAAGAGAGATTTTATAAATTGTTTTCTTTTTCTGCTCCTTTTCTCCCCCACAGGCAGCCTCCTGTCAGTGAGTCTCATTGGAGAATGTTGCTGCAGGACATGTTAACTATGCAGCAGAATGTTTACACCTGCCTAGATTCTGATGCCTGCTATGAGGTAACTACACATGGAGATTACTTCCTCTTAATTTAGAAGGTTTCGTTGTTACAGTGTGTTTATCGGACACCAAGGTGATGACCATAAGATTCGTTATAAGTAATACTGCTGAGTAAGAGAGTAGCACTTTAAGTTAAAAAAAATTTTTTTAAATGTTAATTTATTCTTGAATGAGAGAGAGAGAGACAGAGCATGAGCAGGGGAGGGGCAGAGAGAGAGGGAGACAGAATCTGAAGCAGCTCCAGGCTCTGAGCTGTCAGCACAGAGCCCAAAGTGGGGCTCGAACTCAAGAACTGTGAGATCATGACCCAAGCCAAAGTCAAATGCTTAACTGACTGAGCCACCCAGGCACCTTTTTTAAAGCTTATTTATTTTTGAGAGGGAGAGAGAGAGAGTACAGGAGAGCAGACAGAGAGAGGGAGACAAAATCCTAAGCAGGCTGTGTGCCGTTAGCTCAGAGCCCGGCGCGGGGCTCGAATTCAGGAACCGTGAGATCATGACCTGAGCCAAAATCAGCAGTGGGTCACTTCACCCGCTGAGCCAGCCAGGCTCCCTAGTAGTGCTTTACCAAGTTGAGCCCTTCCTGTCTCACCACCCGTCTTCCCTGCCCTTGTTATTCAGTGTGTCCCTCCTCCGTGTGGCAGGGGCCTCGTCCTTGACCCCTCTCGCTTCCTCAGTTTGGGGCGGTCACTACAGCCTATGGGAGAGGGCTCTCCATCCTGTCCTGTCTTCATCTCTGCCAAATGGCCATCCTTCTTGTCTCCCGCCCTCCATATTTCTCATCTCCACTGAGTCCGAGCTCTCTTCTAAGACACGCCCTTTCAGGGCACTCCCCTGCTTCAGATTTGCTGCCTGCTCCATGTGAGCATCAGCAGGTAGCCGTGCTTGTGAGCGTGGCACAGAGGCACATCCAGCGCGTCCAGCTCTCCCGCCCACTCACGCTGTGCTGCTCTGCACACACGGGGCTTGCCATGTACCCTGTGCTCCGCCAGGGCTACCGCCCTGACTGCACGTGCCGTGCCGTGCACGTGTCTGTGCCTCGCGTTGTTCCCTTTGCCTGGAGGTATTCCTCTTTCCTCTGTCTGATCCTCGCTGGGAACTTTGAGGACTCACCTCCCTAACTGTGCCCTCCAGGATGCCTTCCTTTGTCCTTTCATGCAACTCGTCTCCATTACCGTCTTTCAGGTGCAGTAACTTGTTTCCACATATGGTTCTTCCCCTTGGTCGTGAGCCTCTAGGGTAGACATGGTCATGTGCACGTTCAACCTCCTGTCCCAAGTGCATATTGTAATGTCCAGGACACGAAGGAGTCAGGAGCGTAACCCAGGGGGATTTAGTGATTATTTTTGGAAGGTATGTGTCTTACCACCAAAGTACTCATAGTTCGTGTGGAAAAATGATCCAGCTAACACATTTTTAGTGAGAGATAGTTTACTTATTTTTTCAATGTTTTATTTATTTATAGGAGAGAGAGAGAGACAGAGACAGAGAGAGACAGTGTGAGCAGGGGAGGGTCAGAGGGAGAGGGAGTCACAGACTCTGAGACAGGCTCCAGGCCCTGAGCTGGCAGTCACCACAGAGCCCGACGCGGGGCTCAAACCCACGAACTGCGAGATCATGACCTAAGCGAAAGTCGGACGCTTAACCGACTAAGCCACCCAGGCGCCCCGAAAGATAGTTTATTTAAAAAATTTTTTTCTAATGTTTTATTTATTCCTGAGAGAGAAAGAGAGAGAGAAAGCGTGAGCGGGAAAGCATCAAAGAGAGGGAAACACAGAATCTGAAGCAGGCTCCAGGCTCTGAGCTGGCTGTCAGCACAGAGCCCGATGCGGAGCTCAAACCCATTAACTGTGAGATCATGACCTGAGCTGAAGTCCAACGCTTAACTGACTGAGCCACCCAGGCGCCCCTAGTGAGAGAGAGTTTAAAAGCACGTTCCTGTTTGGAGTTTTTCTGTCAATACACCAGACACAAAACTGTATAGAATATTTCTTGTGTTGTTTCCGCTCTGACATCGCAAAGCATGACCTGTTGATGATGAGAGTTATAAAAATAGGTCTCCATTCTGTGAAATTGGTTGGCATCTTTATTCAAGTTGATTTTTTTTTTTTTTAATTTATTTCTAGGAGAGAGAGAGAGAGACAGCATGAGCAGGGGAGGGTCAGAGAGAGGGGGAGTCACAGACTGAAACAGGCTCCAGGCTCTGAGCTGGCAGTCAGCACAGAGCCCGACGCGGGGCTCGAACCCACGAACCGCGAGATCACGACCTAAGCGAAAGTCGGACGCTTAACCGACTAAGCCACCCAGGCGCCCCTATTCAAGTTGATTTTAACAGAACACTGGTTTTACATTTCAACTTCTGGTTTTTAAATGCTTGAATGAGAACAGTGTTTACGTTGATGATTATAGCCTCAGACCACGTACATGCACCTGCCGGGAGCTTCTCCTTTTGTGTGTCTAAGGGGCAACTTGAACTTCACTTCCAGGAGACAATCCATATTCACATGGGATCCAAAACTTAACCGTCATGAACATGTCTGCAGTAGTGTTTTTTAGTCGGAATGGCATTATTTTGTTATTTTCTTGTTTTTGACTCTCACTGGAAAATTGGCAATAAGTATATTATAGTTGAATTAGCTCTTGTGTAATTTTGTAACAACTTAACATATTAAATTGTTTTTGTTATATTTTAACACCTTTGTATTAGGCTTTGATATTTTAATGACTTTTGGCCATTAGTCTCACTCCTTAGAGAAAACATTTGAAAGCATATTATAGCCGTTTTGAAATGGTTATAGAGGAAGGTAATATAGATTTGGCAAACTTACATTTTTTTTTCAAACTTATATTTTAAAATACGATTTTAGTACCTTTTAAATTATGCTATATTGTCCTACTGACTTTTGGCTATTATATTAGGGTTTTCAATAATACTTGAGAAATATTTGAAATAATAGCTCAATGGCACAATTTTGAAAATTTGATATAGCATGTAGAGCAGAAATGTATATTGTTTATTTTAGCAAGCACTTTTAAATTTTAGAGTGAGTGAATTATATTTTTCAGTACTGGGCATTAACTCTTTATAGCTTACTTGAATAACCCAAAGGAATAGAGAAACCGTCTTATCTAAGTTATTTGGGTCCTTTGATTTACGCCATTTTCACTTTTCACATATAAGTGATTAGGGACGCTCATTGGTAATTTGCCTTTCATTACAATATGTATTTTATAACAGATCCCTTATAGTTACTAGTAATATTATCCTTATTAATCATTTTAATCAAGGCCTGTCCAAAAATACTACCTTCCCCAGAAGCCTAGAAACAAGTGAAAATAAGGGGATCCTATGAAAATTGGGTAGTTGCCTTAATTGTAAAAAAATTCTCTTCTCCATGAAATCTACTTTTTTTCATTTCTTTCTTCTTGTTTCTGTGCTATCCTTATGCAACAGTGGAGGCCTAAGAGGGAAGAACATTCTTGGGGAAGTTGTTATACTAATTATATATTGATATATATAAGTATATATATTATTATACTAACAATGTTATATGTTTTAGTTATTTATTATTAGTGTAAATTTAAAGGGATCTCTTTAAGACTTTTTTGGACTAAGTAATAAGTACATAATCTCAGTCATAAGTAAATTTTATGTTAATTGATGCTATTAGTTGCCTAGTAGAATACAGTATTTGCATGAATACCTTCCATCAGTGGCTCTTGTTTTATTTCAATACTTTTTAATTTGCAGAATGGAAAAAAAAAGTCAATGTTGTATTTGCAGCTTGGCTAGTATGTAAGCCTGAATTCAGATGCAGTGAGCAGTCATAAATTACTGGTGTCCTATTCAAAGATTTTCTTTTTTTTTTTTTTTTTAAATGTTTTATTTATTTTTAGGAGAGAGAGAGAGAGACAGCGTGAGCAGGGGAGAGTCAGAGAGAGAGGGAGTCACAGACTGAAACAGGCTCCAGGATCTGAGCTGGCAGTCAGCACAGAGCCCGACGCGGGGCTCGAACCCACGAACCGCGAGATCATGACCTAAGCGAAAGTCGGACGCTTAACCGACTAAGCCACCCAGGCGCCCCTCAAAGATTTTCTTTTAAAAAATTGAACTACTGTAAATAGTTGAAGCAGAATGGGCCCTGTTGGGTATGGGACATTATGTCTAAGGATTCCTGTTTTCAATGAATATGAACTTCAGATATTTGACTTAAATGTTCACTATACACATTAAGATACAGTTGATCCTTAAACAACATGGGTGCGAACCACATGGGTCTGCGTACTTATACGCAAGTTTGTTTTTGTGTTTGTTAAGTATAGTACTGTAAATGTATCTTCTCTTCCTTGTGATATTAATGTTTCTCCCAGCTTACCTTAGTGTAAGTAAGAATAGTTCTAGAATACAGTAAATAAGAAATACATGTTAGTCACCTGTCCGTATTATCACTGAGGCTTCCACTTAACAGCAGGCTATTAGGAGTTAAGTTTTGGGGGAGTCAAAAGCTATACTGGGATTTCTGACTGCATGGGGAGGTCAGCACCCCTACCCCTGTGTTGTTCAAGGGTCAACTATATTATGCTTCCTATTAGTGCGTTCAGTTAAATGGTTTCTTCTTCCTAAAAAATGAGTTTGTTTTATTGAGGTGAAATTCACATGACATAACGGCCATTTGAAGTATACTTGCTTGTCATTTAGTGCATTCACAGTGTCATTTGTGCACCTGCTACCTGTAAGATGAATGTATTTCTTAATCTATTTCATTTGGATATCAGAGCCTTCATTTTGTTCAGAAGCACTAAGCCTGCCCTCATTAAGACTAATTCCAGTTTCTTCTTCCCCCCAGATATTTACAGAAAGCCTTCTGTGTTCCAGCCGCCTTGAAAATATCCACTTGGCCGGGCACATGATGCACTGCTGTGCTTGTTCGGCAAATCCCCCAGCTAGTGCTGTGCAGAAAGGGAAGACCCACTACAGGGTCAGTTACGAAAGAAGTATTGACTTGGTTTTGGCTGCCAGCAGAGAGTACTTTAACTCTTCCACCAGCCTCACTGATAGCTGCATGGATCTGGCCAGGTAGAGTAATTCTACATTCTTCCAGAAGAGGGAGGGGAGAAGTCAGAAGACACAGACTCCATTGTTGGTTTTGTTCTTTAGTTTACTAAATATATTACCACAAGCACAGATTGGCTGTTCTCTATGGGGCACAGTTATTTATTGCTTGACTGCAGAAAGGTAATTACGTTATGAATATTCATCCACTTTCTCATGACCCCTTTTCTCCAGCATACTTTCCTAGTCTTTCTTGCTGATGATCTGAGAGATTGTGTATCTTTTCTCTTAGAAAGGATTTATGGGATAGCCTGTAACTTCAAATTCTAGGAACTTTTAGCACATTTAGGCAATGGCTGTATGCTTTATGTGACTTCTGCTCTGTTTAGGGACGAGGGGCATGATTAGATGGTAAAACCCTAAAGTCCCTTCCAGGTAGAAATTTCTGGACTGTGAATTCTGTTTCTCTTTGGCCTGTTCTCCTGGAAATTTAGTGTTGGTCTTTTTACTATTGATTCTTAAGAGCTTTTTGTCCCTAAAGGATATTTACCCTTTGCCTCTCTTATATGTTTTAACCGTATTGTCAAGTTTTTATTATATATGATTTTCAAATTGCTGTTCGGAATTTTTTAAGATTTTGATTCTTTTGTTTTATAGTTTCTATTTTGTGTGTCATCCTTTGAAAGATCTTTAATTCCCAAGACCATTATTAGTTTTTCAGATTGTTTTTACTACTTTGATAGTTCTGTGTTCACATTGAAATTTTAGGCCCACTAGGAATTTATTTTGATGTAGTGATTGTGGTAGCTATTTAGATTAATTTTCCCCCCAAATGACTAGTAGCTAAAAAACAAACAAACAAACAAACAGACAAAACAAAACCCAGCTTAAAGAAAACTCCCCCCACTCCTAGTGATCTCAGTACAGAGAGAACCGTATTTTCTCAAACCATGTTATTGAACTTGATGGAGTTGTTAAAAATAGTAAATTTTTTTCTTCTCTCCTAAGGGATTGTATTTCTCTTTCAGATGATGAAAATATCAAATAGAATAGCTTTTAAAACGGGGAGTTGTGTTTGACCTAAATCTTTTTGGCAGGCATTCTCAGAGATCATTTTTAAATCTACACTTCTGATATTTCTCTTTCATTCCATCCCTTTTTCTCCCACAAGGACACATGGTAATTTGGAATAGATACCATATGTGTGTGTAAGGTGGCACCAGACTGATTATGATCTGTGAGCCTGGATATATTTAAATGTTCACAGTTATATTTAATATAGAAAATAGCCCAGACATTCCTATTGATTAAATTATTATGAACTAATTTTTTAATGTTTACTTATTTTTGAGAAGGAGTATAAGCAGGGGAGGCAGGGGGATTAGAGGATCCAGGTGGGCTCTGTGTTGACAGCAGCGAGCCCAGTGTGGGGCTCCATCTCACAAACTGTGAGGCCACGACCTGAGGTGAAGTTGGACACTCAACTGACTGAGCCTCCCAGACACCGCTAAACTAGTTTGTTTGTTTGTTTATTTTTTAAATGTTTTAATGTTTTATTTATTTCTGAGAGAGAGAGAGAGAGTGAGTGTGTGAGAGTGAGCAGGGCAGGGTCAGAGAGAGAGGGAGACACAGAATCTGAAACAGCCTCCAGGCTCTGAGCTGGCTGTCAGCACGGAGCCTGATGCGGGCCTCGAACCCACGAACCGCGAGATCATGACCTGAGCTGAAGTCAACGCTTAACCGACTGAGCCACCCAGGCACCCCTGAGCTAGTTTTTTAATTGAGGAGGTATTACATCCACGAGATGAAAATATTCAATGAAACAAGAAAGGATATTTATTTATAATAATTCTCTCTTCATTCTTGTTGCCCTAACTTTATCCCTAGCTATCTTTTTCAGTCATTTTCCTGTGTATCCTTCCAAAATATTGTAAAGGGTACCATCTTCCTAAGTCACAAATGGGTTTTACTACTTGTACATATCTTTCTGTATCTCGTTATTTCCACTTATGATCTATTCTAAAGGTTTTTTCACAAGTGCCTGTAGGCTTGATTTGTTCTCTTTTGATGGTTGTAAAATAGTCTATTGTTTGACTTTCTAGAATCTATTCGATTAGTTTGTGATTTAATGCATTGTCTTATATTTTAAAGTTTATTTTGAGAGAGAAAGAGAAAGCAGTTCCACATGCATGAGCAGGGGAGGGGGGGAGAGAGAGAGAGAGAGAGAGAGAGAGAGAGAGAGAATCCCAAGCACATTCTGTGCTGTCAGCCACAGGAGCCTGACATGGGCTCATGAACCTGAACATGGACCTCACGAACCATGAGATTCATGACCTGCGCTGAAATCAAGAGTTAGATGCTTAACTCACTGAGCCACCCAGATGCCCCTTTTATATTTTAAAAACACCATGATAGTAACCACCCCTAATTATGTTGGGCATGTGCAAGCCTATCTGTAGTATAAATTGCTAGAACTTGGAATTCCTGGGTTCAGAGGTAGTGCATGTAGAATTTTGGTAGATACCACAAGTAGTTCTGTCACTTTTACTCTTGAATCAGCAGTATATGTTAGTGCTCATCTTACTTAAATTTTAAAGTTTTGCAAGCAAGGTGGACCTATATCCATCACTCAGTCATACAGGTGCATGCTGGGGCAGAGTGATCTTCATCAGACCATCCATGATTTTAACACTGTTAGCCCTTCCTGGCCTCATCTCTACCAGTCTCTCCAGGCTTGCGTCCCATGCACCTTTCAGCAAGTTTGTTAATTAAAATATTTATTCACACACTTTGTCTGGATTTTTAAAAACATGCTTAAAATCCTCCATAGGGTGTCACAGCTTCTTAGTTTAGCAAAGTCACTTTCTCCTGTGTTCATCTCACTACTGCATTACCAACAGACTCTTCCTTATGATCAGAAAAATGTCCTTTGTGCAGTTTCTTAGGTTAGTGTTTTTTCCTTTGGGAAACAAAATTGTCACTGAAACAAGATGTTTGTTTCTCCTAGAAGAATAACTGGAAATTACCTGAATTCTGTCTCCTTTTTTAAACCTCTCCTGTATGATTATTACCTTTGGAGTCAGCAGTAAAAAGAGCGTGAAAGGCAGAGCTAACACATTTTGCTTCCTACTGTGGTCCATTACCCACTATCAGAATAGCCCTGTGCAAAATCACTTCACCTCTCTGAGCTTCAGTTTTGGCTTCCTTAGAAAGCAGGTGATGCTCTTGGCCTATGACACAGGCTTCTGTGAGGATTCAGTAAGGTAACAGCCAGCATCGAGCACAATACCTACCTGGGGTAGGTGTTTGATAGTGTGTGTTGGATCGCACATTGTTGAATACAGACAGGCAACTTAGCCAAATGTGTGTTATTAAAAAAAACAAAAACAAAAACAACAACAACAGAACTTACCTTATTTCCCCTAGGTGCTGCTTACAGCTGATAACAGATCGGCCTGCGGCCATTCAAGAGGAGCTAGATCTGATCCAGGCCCTGGGATGTCTTGAAGAATTTGGGGTAAAGATCCTGCCTTTGCAAGGTGAATTTTCTAGTTAGTGCTTTGTTATTAACTTGGCATTCAATTACTTTGCATTGAATTACTAGCGTTCCTTTGTAGTTATTTTTAAGCTAAAGAGTACCTGTGGTCATTTAATCCATTAGCAATAGATCCTACCCTCTGCTCCATTTTTCAAATGAAATCTTTTGTGGGCATCTGCAACAATAAAGCCGACATCTTACTATAAATGTATTTTTTGAGTTCTCAGTTATGCCATTAAAAGAAATAATATTCGTAACAGCAGTGAGGCTATTGGATAAAAACAAAAAGAAGTGGGGGATTATGGATTGGAGCTTCAGATCACCATCAGTTTTTGATTATGCAGTTTATTTCTATATTTTGTTTCAGTTGCATAGATTTAGAAGTAGCTATACATGATCGTATTTTATCTTGTTATGTTCAGTACAGAATATTCTTTAAGTTGATACTATTTTTTTAAAAAGAGGAATGACAGGAAGTTCTTGCTTAGAGTTTAATTCCTAGAGATATCTTAACAATGCTCAAGTTCTTTTATCTAAATGTACAGGTTGGGGAAGTACCACCCAAGACCAGCATGCTGACACACAGTCACTTGTGATCATTATCTGCTTTGTGCTGTGAGGATAGTGTGTGTCCTCCAGCGTCCTGACTCTTACCTGACAAGCGGGGGATAGATTTCCTGTTGCCTTGAACTCTGAGCCTCTGTGCCCGAAATAAAGCGGGTAGCTTGATTATTAGCAGTATGCTTGGTGCCTTCCATGTAATCTCTTATCTTTATTCTTAAACCTGGAAATGTTTGGAATTGGGAGTGGGGAAGTTATAGCTGAGTTGTTTCCATCTCTGATTTTTGACACATTTTCGCTGGAATTGTCTCTCTCTCTCTCTCTCTCTCTCTCTCTCTCTCTCTCTCCCCCTCCCCCCCTCTCCCCTCCCCCCCCCCTTTTTTTTTTTAACTCCGGGTACCTTTGGACAATGATGTCCTGTTAACAGGTTCCTTGGTGTCTTTGTCCTGTGTAAGGTTTTGGGTAAGGCGGATCTTAGGGGATGTAAGTCAGCTAAGACCTTCTCATATGGGTTTCCATTGTAGTTTTACTACAAATCAGAGTCCTGTTTGCCAGATTAATTTATTAGACTTGAAAAAGGTAGTATTTCTGTTACCTTGAATATTATTGTTTGTAAATAATTTCTAGGCGATTATACATATCCTGTAGCATCTTAAGTACATTTATGGAGATCGTTAAATCGCTGGAAAATTGTATTTTCTGAGCTCAAAGCTTTTTAAAATTGTGAAGATTAGTCAGATTTACAAAAAAAACATTTTCATTTTATTCTCAGATGTCTTAAATCATTACCTGTCTCCCCAGAAACACTTACATTTTCAGCTGACGTGTTCAGCCCCGGCGGAGTCTAGAGCACTAGGAAACTTTTGCCCTCTGGTTGGGCCACGTCCTCATAGCTCTGACTCTGTATATGGGTGTATTTTAGCCACTTATTGAATCCAGGCAGACTGATTGATATAATACAAAAAAAGCTTTCTTGCAGTCCCCCGAATGCAAATGAATTCTTTCAACTGAATTGAAATAATAAGTTGAGCTCTTAATTTTCTGTGGTGCTCCATTAGCAGTACTTTTGCTGGCATATTTGCACATCGTCTGATGGGTTTGGAAATCTGCGACCAAACCTGCTATCCTGCTGTTACTTCTGAGAGATTTCCTGACTGGAGAGCGTTTGAAGAAGGACATTTGCTTTCATGTCTTGACAGCTTTCCAGCTTGATATATTGATTTGGATATATTGATTCCTATTAGAATGAATGTCAGAAATCCTCTGGATGGGGAGATGGGATATTGCATTGTATCCTGGTGTTGTGTTTATGCCGCAGATACAGTTTAGGGTTAAGCCTCTCTTGTAGTCAGTTATCAGGGACTGGACAAACCGTGTAACTTGATATTTAAACATTTATGGTCTAGGTTTTTTTGTTTGTTTGTTTGTTTGTTTTAGTGTACATAGTTCGTTTTGTCAGTCTGCTTTGTTTTAGAGCCTTCTTTGCCTGCACTTGACGAGTTGCTCCTGGTCACCAAGTGAAGACTAGTGGTACTAGCTAAGTGACACTTAGAGAGTCCATAGCAAACAGGAACAGAAATAGCATGTAAAAGTGATTCCTTATGTTTGAGTGTGTGTGTGTGTGTGTGTGTGTGTGTGTGTATACACACATGTGTGCTTTCCCCATCATTTGGATATTCCCATTTTATGTGAATTATTCTTAATATTCACATGGGCAGATGTGGGATATTTCACTTGTCCCCTGTGGTCTTTCTATAATAGGGCAAGTCCGTTTTCAGTCTCACAGCACTCTGGGTAAAGCCCCTGGAGCCAGTTTTGTCCAGCCAGTGACTGGACAGGTGGTTCACCTTTCTTTATGTTTAGGTTTTCTCATTCACAAAATGGGGATACTAATAAGCACCTTCTAGAATTGCTGATAGAGACGAAGGCCGTGTGTTCACAGTGCCTGGGATATCGGAAGGGCTCTACACGCATTAGCTGTCATTTCTGTTATTTTGCATGGAGGCTCTAGTGCCTCGCGGTGGTAGAATTAGAGCGGCCTTGCCTGCTTGCCGTTCTCCTCTTCCCCACCATCCCTTCCTTCTTGTTCCCACTCTCCTTTCCTTCCACCCAAAAATACCGAGGTAGCTTCTTACTGTCTTCTAGAAACTGAAGGGATGAAGGGACTAGGGCACACTTCCTGGCTTGTGCGTGTGTGTGTGTGTGTGTGTGTGTGTATGTGTGTGCTGATGGTGACAGGACTGCGTCGTGCGAGTGAGTGTCACGTGGGAGTTTAAACTCTGACTCCGCCACTCTGAGCTGTGTGACCTGTGGCACCTTCATGGTTTTGAATGTCACCTTCCTCAGTCAGAGATAATAATAAAATGTTCCGTAGACAGGCTTGAAAATCCGTCTTGAAACATTGAAGATTTTTACAGTAGAGGATCTCGTTCTCCATAAGCGTGTCTGTGAGTATGCCAGTAGTAGTGGTAATAGTAACAGCTCACATTTATTGAGTGGTTTTCATGTTCTAAGTGGTTTTATATGTTTGTATTCTCAAAAATATCCTACGAAGTAGTGTCTATTATTGTTTCCAACTTCCAGATGCTGAAATAAAAATATGAGAGGTTAAATAGCTTGCTCAGGGTCACGCAATTAGAGGTGGAGCTAGAATTCAAAGCTAGGTAGTTTGGTACAAAAACCTATGTTTGTAAAGAGTCGACTATACTCTTGTGATGACGTGATGGGAAAGTAAAAGATTTAAGAAGGAAACTCAGGTATTCTCACTCATCGGCTAACGAATGCTGCATGTTGTCACCTTCTGCCCCAGTACGAGTCAGATTTGTACTTCAGCAATGTCACAGTCTACCTGTGCCAGTCATGAGCAACCGAAAGTGATATTTTGCATCTATGGTTTGTTGGGGATGATTTGCTGTCTGTGCCTTACAAGGTTGTGATGAGAACATTTGGCATGTGCATAGCTGGTCAGTGAGAGCTTCTTATGTCTGAGACATTTGTGTGTCTGTGAGAGTTATAGTTGAGTGTGTGTGTGTGTGTGTGTGTGTGTGTGTGTGTGTGTGTATGTGCCAGAACACTGGATATATATTTGTGAGATCCACAGTGAGGGAGCCTCAACTATTAAAAGATACATAGCATACATGCAGATCTTTTTCATCATCATTAATTCCATTTGAAAAGGAATTTTAAGTTTCAGAGACTCCTTTCCTTCATAGAAATATAGAAATAATATCTAAGGCCTGAATTTACTTAACCGAGAAATCACATTTCAAAATATAATTTAGCATGTCCTACAATAAGCAGTAAAGGAGAATTGGTCTAGTGATTGTCCAGAGGCTCAAAAAATAGAGAAATAAATAAAGTAAAAAGGCATTTGAACAAGGCAATTGCACTCTATTAGAATTCTACTCTGCAAATTTACTTAATGTCCTTAAAATATTAGTAGTTATGCATTGCTTAGGGCAAGAAACAGACAAAGAACCAAACTTGGAACTTTGGAGAAAATGAAGATCCATTGCTATGTGTGACCTCAGTTTTCTACTTTGATTCTGTTGAGCTAGAGGAAGCAGGGCTGTAGTCAGGGATGCAGCTCACTGGCATTATACAACCAGGTGCCCCTGAGAGAGCCAGCATTCATCAAATACGGCTATGAAAGTGTCTGCGGAAGCCTCCAGTTTCTTACATATGTAGACTGACCATGAGATCTAGACAGGACGGGTTTGATTTGGAAAATCTAATTAGAAACATGCAGAAAGTACCTTTCTCATAGTAATTGCATGTGAAATAATGAAGTAGTAATATACGTTTTCTTCAAATACAAGGAGAAAAACCCATAAAACAGTAGCAAATGTTAAAGGAAAAAAAACCCAATTTTTTGATTGAGAAAAGTTACGGAAAACTTTGAGGTATGCTGTGTCAGCTCATTTTTGCTAGGCTGTGCTACAGTAAGAATCTCCAGAGCCTCGGGGCCCATGATAGAAGGCGAGTCCTCACACCCCAGCATTTCTGCAGTGCAGCTTCGTGAAGTGGCATTCTCACGGGAGGGGAGAAGCTCAGGAGTGGGAGCCCACGGTGACTCCCATTTGCTCAGAGGAGCATATGTCATTTCCACTCCCATTTCGTTGCCCGTAGAAATCACATGGTCAAGCCTAATGTTAGTCAGGTTGGTATCTGGGACATGAGTCATTACAGTGGATACTGCGAACAGTAATACAGTCTACTGAAGTTAGACTCAGACACACGCATCGCTTGCCGTGATTGTGAAGTAACTGAAGTCTCCATCTACTTTCTGTTTTACAGTAAAGGCCACAAAGGATTACTGTACTAGTGGATGCATAAATAGCCCTCTTAAAATAACCCAGTGCACACTCAAGTATTTAGGAATAAAAGGATATAACATATGCAACTTATTCTCAGATAGTTCAGAAAAAATAGGTGTATGTGTGCATGCGTGTGCACATGCGCATTCATGTTTGTATAGATGTGTGGAGAGGGAGGGCTCACCTGCATGACTGCTCACGTGCATGTGTACACGGAGCAAATTATTAATAATTGATTATTCTTGGCAAAAAGTATGGAGTTCTTTGTACCATTCGGGCAACTTTTCTGTAAGTTTGAAATTAAAGCATAATTAAAACTTACAATAAAAGAGCACATTCCAAAGAAAACTACCACCTCTCTCCTTTATCTCACCAACCCCTGGGCCCCCTGCCACTTACCTATAAGAAGTTTTGGGAGAACACAGAATATATGGGATAAAGCCATAGATTTGGGAATGGATAAAGGAATAAGGTATGAAAAAGATTTAAAGGGGCTGGGTTGAATTCTGGTTCTATCACTTTAGTGACCTTTCTATATTTTTTTTTCCCTGAAAAAGGTTGCCTTATAGTTGCCTTATAAGTCCTGCCTTTTAGGGTTAACATGTAAATTACCTACAACACATGCCTGAGATGTAGGTCCTACTCATTGAATGTCAGCTGCTATTATTATAGTTGCTACTGTTATAATTATGGGGGCTGGGCTGCCCCGATAGTGACCTGCTTCTTAAAGGTTGGTACCTCTTCCTTAAATAAATAACCATTTCTTCCTACCATATACATAATCTTTGCTGAAGCTTTTTTCTCCGTTTAAGTGTCCTCAGTTACCTCATAGTGTGAATTGCTGTGATCAGACATGTTTTATTTTCCTAATATCTGGCTTAAGTGAGAAGATAGGGCCGGTTTGGAGAAAGGTTAACACATTGGAACAGTGGGCACTTTGAAGATTCCTGCGCTTTACACAGGGGTGATGATGTGGAGGTAGAATATGGATTTGGAACACTGGATGGATTTTGGGGTGGGGAGGTAAGGTGAATGGGGTGCAGGTGTGATAGGAAGTTTGTGACATTTTCAAAGACAAATACTGAATTCTTTAAAATTTACCCTGAGGCCTTCTGTGGCACTTGCAAAGGTGACGCTTTTTCATAGCTCCTGAATGTCCACACATTTGCCGCTTCAGAAGCTGGGTGACAAAGGATCCAAGCTGCACGTTATTTATTCAAAAGCAACGACAATTTTAATTTTTTTAAAAAAACAATTGTGTCTTAATCCTTCTTGATCTGGAGGCTAGCAGGTTTCATTGTGTTTGCTTACCTTAAACTTGGACAGTCACGACACTCTAGTGATGTCCCTGGTTCCCAGTCTTTTGTATGTCTCTCTTTCACAGTGCGGTTGTGCTCGGATCGGATCGGCCTCATCAAGGAGTGTATTTGCCAGTCTCCCACGTGCTACAGACAATCCGCCAAGCTCCTGGGCCTTGCTGACTTGCTGAGGGTGGCAGGTAAGCTGAGGGTGGCAGAGTAAGGTTTCTGTGTCATTCTTGACATCATCCCAGGCAAACATCAGCAAACATGGTTCCAGATGTCGGAGAGCTGTTCTTGAGCAAGGATTCGTCTTCTCGGCAAAGACGGGCACGGGATAAAAACGTGTGCCCATACTGAGCCGCTGGTCCGTCTGTCCTTCAGATGAGGATGGGCTCATTCAGGGCACCACAACGTGGTTGTGAGGGCATGAAGGAAGCCAGGATTAGCGTTTATAACCAGAAAGCTGAATGTGGAACAGGTCCGGCCTGCCACTTCACCTTCAGTGCCCAGATTTGGTGTGGCGTCTTTGAGCCTGAACAATTTTTTAGAAAAATGTGTGCATTTACTATTTGGTGGGGTTTTCACCTAGCTCATCTTACTTCGTCTTCTATTAAATGGCAATGATGATGGTATTTTTTCATTTTATAAGGGAAATTCAGGATCAGAGAAGTCCAATATCTTGCTCAGCAGGGTTAAATAGCAGACCCTAGCTTCTGAGGAAAGTCTCTCTGAGTCTACCCTTCATGTTTCTTTAACCACACTGTTCTGCTTATCAGAGTCTCTCAGTAATTTTCTTTTGTATTTTTGACTTACCTCTACAAGAACAGTCATTGGCCATATGTTTTATAAGCAGTGGTTTGAAGTTAGACTTGTCCAGACCACATATTACAGGCTCAAAAGCAAGTGAGATTGCTGTTTATATGCTGAACTTTTCAAAACATATATATTTAATATACTTAGGGGATATACATTTATTCATGTTTTTAAATCTTCATATAAATGACTTTTAAGGTCTGCAGTTTTAGTAACTTGCCCTGTGTCATTGTCCTTTTCTGGTTGGTCTGAAATCAGAGAGTTAGCATCCTTACCTGGGGGCCCTCGGCAGCTCTGGGACCTGTCACCCAGCGTGAGGCATTTGGATGATGGGAGAGAAATTGGGGGAGGGGTCAGAAACCTGCTTCGGCCCTCACTGTCCCATAGGCTTGCAAAGTGACTTTAGCTCCAGCTCTGTCTCTGGAGAATGGGAATGAGCCTCTCGCGCTTCACCCTCCAAGTTACAGGGTCCCCAAATGAGTTAGTGCCTGGAAGAGCACTTTGTAAACTTTGAAGCACACTGAAAATCAGGGAAGATTTCCATAAGGAAATTTCACCGAAACTAACAAAGCAGCTCCGGGATGCTGCCAGCATTTTCATGTGCCCACTGAGACTAATTTCGTTTTGTCCTGTGTCCTCTTGACACAGAAACAGGGATATCAGTGATCTTGGTAAATTGTAGGAATTTTTAATGGTATTAATATTCTTTCAGTCCTCTTCCGTACTGTCTGTCTGTCTGTCTGTCTACCTACCTACCTACCTACCTACCTATCTACCTATTTATTTAAATTTTTAGAGAGAGAGAGCATAAGCTGGGGTGAGGGGCAGAGGAAGAGAAAGAGAGAATCCTAAGCAGGCTCCATGCTAAGTGCGGAGCCCACTGTGGGACTTGATCCCACAATGCTGGGATCATGACCTTAGCTGAAATCAAGAGTCAGATGTCAACGTGACCGAGCCACCCAGGTGCCCCTATATTCTTTGTATATAGTAGCTCTTACAACAGCCTCTTGTTCCCTGCATTTTACAGGTGAGGAAATCGAGGCACAGAGAGGTGAAGTGGTACCGCTGCACTAGGTACTTTGGATATAAAGTTCTGTTCCACACAGCTTCTGCCCCCCCAGGAACTTGGACTCTTAGAGGGCTGAGCAAGTGGATACTTATGCTGCACTGTAGACATGATGTGTCCCTGGCGTCTGCATACAAGTGTTCCAGAGGTTGGAAGAAGGGCAGTGCTAGTATTTTGCCTACTGAGGAGGGTAGTTCAGAAAGGGATCTGTAAGCTGGTGACATTTATCTGAAGCTCGTAGGGTGTTTGGTTATCTACTGCTGCTTTATAAACCATCCCCAAAATTTAGTGACTTAAAGCAAAATCATTTGATTTTTATTCTCCCAGTTCTGGAGGTTGACTGGGCTCAGCCAGGGAGTTCAGGATCCTTCTTGAAATTGCTCTCAGATAGTGTCTGAGGGGGAGGAGGGGATAGATGGTCTCCTCTCAAAGGTTGCTCTACTTACATGCCTGGCACATGGTCTGGGAACACTTACAGAGCTGGGGGATAGAATAGTCAGGGCCTTATCTCTTCTCTTTGTAGTTTCTCCTTGTGGTCTTTCCATGTGGGGGCCTCAGAGTCCCCGTACTTCTTATGTGATGGCTGACGGCTCCCAGAGTCAGTGTTCTGAGAGAAACCAGAAAAAGCTTCATGGGGTTTTCTAATCTAGCTTTGGAATTTGGGCAATTTCATTACTATTGTGTCTTCTTCATGGAGGCAGTCACATGGGCCCTCCCTGGTTTAAGGGAAATACATATGGGCTCCACCTGAAGGCTTAACTGGGACCAGATACTCTGCTTCTGAGCTGACCTACTCGCTTGGCTGCTGGAAGAGACCTCAGTTTCTCCCTGGCTGGTGGCAAGCAGCCTCAGTTCCTTGGCACCTGGACCTCTCCATAGGGCCTAACTGTTCTGCCAACGTGATACCTAATTGCTCCTCAGGCAGTTGATCCATGAGAGACTGAGGAGGAAGCCCTCATGTCCATTATGACCTAGTCTTGGAAATCACCCATCATCATTTCCACCTTATTCCATTAGAAGTAAATCACTAACCAGCCCCTGTCAAGGGGAGGGTCACTGAGCTCCATCTTTAGAAAGGAGTGTCAGAGAACTTGGGGACGTAGCTTATATTTCATATACTCAAAGCCTTGTCATACCACTATTAATGCGCTTTTTTCAGACTAAATATCGGAATCATTTTCTTTAATAGATGGGTTTTTTAAAATGTTTACTTATTTTTGAGAGAGAGAGCACACAAGCAGAGGAGGGGCAGAGAGAGAGAGGGAGACACAGACTGCAAAGCAGGCTCTAGGCTCTGAGCTCTCAGCATAGAGCGCAACACAGTGCTCGAACTCATAAACCGTGAGATCATGACCTGAGCCGAAGTTGGATGCTTAACCGACTGAGCCACCAGGAGCTCCTTGAACAGTTGTCTTGCCTGTCCATACTCCTGGCTGTTAGAGTTTATTTTGTTTTGTTTTGTTTACAGTATTTTTCTAGATCATTCTTTTAGGCTATTTTAGGTAATGTTTCCACCCCTAATCCATCTGTTCAGATAGGAACTTTATAGAAAGAATGAAAAGCAGTTAAATATTTGAACTTTGGACTTGAAGGGATGACTATTTAACATATCTTCATATAAAAGTTTACATTAACTACAATAATAATCCTCATTTTATGCTTTTATACATACCTAAGTTACTTGTTACCACCCTTATAACAAAGATATGACTCTTATTTTGAATGTGAGAAAACGGGAATAAAGAAGTTAAATAATTTATTGATGATTTCACAGTTAAGAAGTTTCTCACTTTGAATCCTTTACTCTTATCCTTTGTTTCTATATTTTGTTGTTGTTGTTGTATGATGGTAATTAATGGATCCTTACGTAAAGTCAGCTGATTTAGAGGCTTTCATTATGTCTGCCAAATATCTTTGCCACCTAGCCAAGCTGTCTTATGGAAAAAAAAATCAAAATCACCCTCGGTCCTTTCATTTTTTATTTAGATAGTCTGACTAAATGCAAACATTTTATGAGTATTATCTAGGAAATAGGTTTTATATTAAGTGTGATATGTGCATGTATTTTTGAGAAACTTTTTACATATTGTTCCATTTCCAGTATTGTGTGTTAGTGTTACAGAGCGTGGGTTTGTTCTAATAATATTATGAATCATAGTGTTCTATCCTCCCTTTTTTAAAAAAATAAAGTTTTTCAATTAGCTTAGGCCATTACTTGGATTTTTTTTTTAAACCTGTGAAACATAGGATGGAGATTAATGGTAACATATTTTACAACTTTCATTCAAAGCTTTCTGTGATATGTTTACTTTTTCTTCCAAACTGCATTAGAGCTTAAAAATGCAAGGACCATTACACTTTTTCTTTTTGGAAATATTAAAAATAATTTTAAAATTTCATTACTTCATTAAAATTTAAAATATGTTTTACTTTTTTTTTAAGTCTGAATATACAGATTGCATTTATGTTGTAACTTTGAATTATTTGTCTTATAATTGAAAGTTGCATTCTGAATAGAATCTACTCATTTCATTGAGGATTTATTTTTTGAGCCCCAATTATATGTATGACTTGGAGGTGCTGAGAAGTTAACAAGGAAGGGACCCCTGTCTGGAGAGAGCTTAAATTCTGAGACTAGATACAGATTTTTAAAACAATAATCCCAATAAATTGGTATCCAGAGAATGAAAAGGAAAGACACATGTAGGAGGGGCATCTAAACCATATATTTTTTGTGAAGAAAGTGTAGAGAGATCAAAGAAGGACATGACATCTAATTTGGCTTCTAAGAATCTTTTTGAGAAGATTAAGATCTTTGTGTTAACATAAACTGAATTTTGGTAGTTTTCTTAGAGTCTAGATGCTTACTATGATAAATGAAAGATAGCACTGTTAGTGAAACTATAAAATTATGTCCAGTTTACCGTGTTTAAGTCTCCCCTCTTTCTATTTGTCATTTGTTAATTATAATTAGAAACAGAACATTCAAAGGGCAAAAGCTTAAAAAAAATAGCAAAATATTTAAGCCTCTTTTGGGAGGAAAACATTTTCTCTGCCTTCTTAGGATGGAATGGTTGGTCTGGGGCTGATACTGATCATTGATCTCCTAGGAGACTGAGAGCTGGTTCCAGGATTAATAAATAGATTGGAAGGTCAAAGTTTCCTTGACATTTGTCCTATAATCTTTTAAAAAATCAGTCTAATCTCTACCTTTTATTTTTTAATTAATTCGAAATACAGTGTTAATGAGCTGTTTTATCAATTGATGCTCCCATAATCATTAAGTCCTTTGCATGTGTTTACAGGTGAAGACCCAGAAGAAAGGCGTGGACAGGTTCTGATCCTTCTAGTAGAACAAGCACTTCGTTTCCATGACTACAAAGCAGCCAGTGTGCATTGTCAGGAGCTCATGGCCACAGGTGAAACAGACAAATTACTTAACACTTTGCTCAGGTCCATTTTGCATGAGTAATGGAAAAGGTCTGTTCTGAAATCAATTGGCCTGATTGGAAAGCCAGGCACATTTTCTTCAAAAGACTTGAGAAACATTTTATGAGTGCTGATCAGTATGTATGCTATGTGCTTATATATTAATGTAAGTACTTAATGGGCTCAGGGGTTATATTTTAGCTGAGATTTTGGTTGCTTTCCATTGCCTATTAAAAATATGCTCATAATTTTAAGAATAATTTTATATAAAATATTTTAATGGCTTTTCATGTATTTGTTATATAAAAGAACATTTAAAATTTTTGAATTATCTATGATTTGTGAGTGAATATTTCTAGTCTTTAGTTTTTTTAAAAAAGGATAACATAGTGCTTTTCAAACTGATCTTGAGAAATTAGGAAGTAGTCTGCAACCCTAAAATTTTCTATATTGATATTTAAGTTCCAGTCTCTGGAGGATCAGATTTTTTTTTTTTCTGGAATAATTTCACTCTGAAAGAACATATTCCCCCATGGGGTAGGAAGTGATGTTGTCTGATCATAGACTCTCTCCTAAATGATCTGCTTCCTGTAGCTATCTGTGAATATATGAAAGCTCAAGCATACTTTACCTTGTGTCTTTGCTTTCAGAGTGAGTGGTTACAAATGTAGTGCTTCACCTCATCATAACTCACAGAGCCATGCACTGAAGAATTTTGCACTTCGTGTATACTGTTCCAGAAAAATATTACTCTGTCATTTCTCATTTTAAATTTTTAAATTTTTTTTTAAAAATTTATTTCTGAGAGAGAGAGACAGCATGAGCAGGAGAGGGTCAGAGAGAGAGGGAGTCACAGACTGAAACAGGCTCCAGGCTCTGAGCCGGCAGTCAGCACAGAGCCCGACGCGGGGCTCGAACCCACGAACCGCGAGATCATGACCTGAGCGAAAGTCGGACGCTTAACCGACTAAGCCACCCAGGCGCCCCAAGGTTAGTGGAATTCTTGCTGACCTGACTTAACAGGATCTTTGCTGAAGGCAGGCCAAGGTGATCAGATATCAAGGGTGAAGGATGAGGAATTTACTCGCATATCAACAACGATCAGTTGTTGGGTGGGAGATTCTCTCTAAACTGACTGTTTTGGGGGCACCTGGGTGGCTTACTCGGTTAAGCGTCCGACTTTTGCTTAGGTCATGATCTCGTGGTTCGTGGGTTCGAGCTCCGTGTCGGGCTCTGTGCTGACTGCCAGCTCAGAGCCTGGAGCCTGTTTCAGATTCTGTGTCTCCCTCTCTCTCTGACCCTCCCCTGCTCACGCCATCTCTCTCTCTCTCTCCTAGAAATAAATAAAACATTAAAAAAAAATTTAAACTGACTGTTTTGCAGAATTTTTGCTGAAACTGGAGTCAGTGGGCTCAGCCAGGCCAAGGTATAGGCCTAGTTGTGAAGAGGCTTCATGTTTGACAGAGCCTAACATTTGGTCAAGGAGAGAATCTTTTTCAGGTCATCTATGAAAATGTTTAAAAGTCTGGGAGAAAAACTCAGTGCTTTGTAACCTCAGCATTAGGAAATGAGTTTCATAAAAGATCTACATTCCGTAAAACTAACCAATATTAACGTTAACCATTATTAAGCCAGTATTGACTTTGTAACATTAAGTTCAGAATAATTATGGTTTTCTGAAACAAAAATATGTATTACTCTAAAATTATTTAGAGATCTTTGTTAAAGAATTTTATTCCCATAAGGCGTAGTACCTGGATTTTTACTTTATATATTTAGAGAAATTACTCTGGACCAAGTCCTTTGTACCTTAAAAAAAAAATAAATAAAAACCCTTTCAATCTATATCTTAGTACTTAGAAAAAAACAAACTCTTTCAACCTAGAACTCCTTCAACTACAAATAAAACTGTATTTTAAGAATCTGGAGTATAAAATTGTGTAGGAGAAAGATCTCTGCTTACAGCCACAACTGATGGTTTGCCTTGCTCTGTCCTTGGATCTCTGTCTTCTGTAAAGTGAATGAGTCTGTGTAGCTGCCTATAATAGTTTTTCTTTTCTCACACTTGGCAAGTTTACAGAGTGCTTTTAAATATAAATGTTATTTAATCCTTCAACAACTCAATGAGGAAGTCACTATTATTGTCCCTTTGTGGTAGTACAGGAGCTGTGACACCTGGTCTCTCTCAGGCTCCCACAAGTGCTAAATAGCAGACTGTCCCCTCAAGTCTTCTGAATTCAGATATCTGACTTAGCTTTTTACTCAGTGTCAAAGCTAAGTAAATTATTTGTAGTCATTGTCAGGTATTCTAAAATGAAGTGGAGTTTATCAGAAAAACATGTGGAATATTTCTACCCTTTCTGGATAATAAGCCAGCCCAGTATTTCTTTTCTACTTTAGATCCATATGTGTTTCTAACTGCTTATTAGAAAAGTTACACATCTCCAAGGACCAAGATTGTACTTTGGTAACACAAGACCTGAGCAGAAAGCCACTGAATTTCTCATGTTAGATTGGAAATTTTTCTTCTTGTGAAAATCAGTTTGTTTTCTCTTGCTCGTTTTGCAGGTTATTCTAAGAGTTGGGATGTTTGTAGCCAGTTAGGACAATCAGAAAGTTACCAGGACTTGGCCACGCGTCAGGAGCTCATGGCTTTTGCTCTAACACATTGCCCTCCTGGCAGCATTGAACTTCTTCTGGCGGCGAGCAGCTCTCTGCAGACAGAAGTAAGTGGTCTAGCAAAGTAAATCCCAAACTGTATCAGATATGATTTGTTGGGTGTGTGGATCTGGGATTTGTGATTGTTTTTTAAAATATTATGAGAATTTTAATTTATGGAAGAAAAATAACTTGTCACTCTTATGAAAAGGGATTTGAAGATACTCGGATATAAAGTAGAGTTGTTGGCTTATTATAGTAAGAAAGAAAGGGCACAAGGCAAGTATGAGAAAAGTGGGAAGTAATATTCAGAGGTAAATGATTGGATATAATGAGAGAAGTTAGTGTTGTCAAGAATAAAACATGAGAAATGGTCATGGAAAACATGTTAAAAACCAGTGGTGACACCATCCCTTGGAAGTCCTTTGGCAATGGCAAAGGACACTTTTAGTTGGGGAGATGCTCAATCTCCCAGAATTCACAGGTAGATCTGCCTAAGGATGGGTGATGCTCTTGTTGCCAAAAATATAGGAGAAATAAATAGAGGATATAAGAATATAGGAAGAGATTTTGGAATTCTCTTTTTCGTATCCTTATCATTCAATGCATTGTACACCAGGTTTTTCAACATTGGTGACCACTTCTGAAATTGGGAAGCCATTCAGGAAGTCCTGAAGTAAGCCTATTACCAAAAACTGTTCATTATGAAGTAGCAATTTTTTTTCCTCAAAAGAATACTTATAAAATTTCCAGTCTGCGTTGTGAAGCGAGGCAAATTTAAAAACACAGTTCCTTTAGGGGCCCCCGGGTGGCTCAGTCAGTTAAATGTTCATCTTCAGCTCAGGTCATGATCTTGACCTCGATGACTTCGAGCCCCCCATCGTGCTCTGTGCTAACAGCTCAGAGTCTGGAGCCTGCTTCTGTCTGATTCTGTGTCTCCCTCTCTCTCTCTCTGCCCCTCCCCTGCTTGCACACTATCTCTTTCTCTTTTCTCCAAAATAAATAAACATTAAAAAAAAATTTAAAAATATAAAAATAGTTCCTTTAGAGTATGTCATGTTCTCTTTTCAGATTCTTTATCGAAAAGTGAATTTCCAGATCCATCCAGAAGGAGGAGAGGGTATCAGTGTTTCACCATTAATTAGTAAAGCGCTACACGAGGTAAGTCCATCTTCGAGGGAGGAGTTGGAAAGGTCACCATGAGTGGAGTGAAATGGGAGTCACCTGGCCTTGTGTGTGTGTGTGTGTGTGTGTGTGTGTGTGTGTGTGTGTAGACTGGTTTTCGTTTAAACTTTGTGTGTGAAGTACAACATTCATATATATATTTTTTAAGGTACACAAAAATGTCCAACTCAATAAATTATCACAAAGAAGTAGCCATGAAACCATCAGATAAAGAAATTAATATGACCAGCTTTCCACAAGTTCCCCAACACCCTCTCCCAACTTAGTTTCTAGCCGTTCTTTCTCATTCCGGAAATCACCACTGTTGTCACACCAGATCTTTATAGCTTTTGTTCTTGTCTTAAAGAAGTTTACTACCCATCACACCCCTCCCAATACGATGTGACCTACTTTTGTACTTAATAGAAATGGGTATGCTCCATATTTTTGGTGAGATTCATCTTCTTACATGTGTGTAGTTTATTCACCGATAACTGCTGTGAGGAAGTCAATCGTGATGTGCATGTTTTACAGTTTATCCATCATAATGTTGATTGGTATCGGTGTCTTTTTAATTCTGACTACTACAGGTGAAGCTGCATTATCATTTTGTACACGTTGCTGGTACACATGTGCATACCTTTCTGTCTGGCATCTGCTTACGTAGGCCTGGAAGTGTATGTTAGCAGGTCTCTATACATTTAGCCTCTGTCGATAATCCCAAATGATTTTTCCAAAGAAGTTTTACCAATTGCACTGTTTTAAAAATTTGTTTTTTTCTTTTTATTTTCAAGTTTATTTTATCTTACTTATTTTGAGAGCGTGCAGGGGAGGGGCAGAGAAAGGGGGAGAGAGAGAATCCCAAGCTAGCTCCTCACTGTCAGCGTGGGGCCTGATGTAGGGTTTGAACTCAACGACGCAAGAGCATGACTGGAGTTGAAATCAAGAGTCTGATGCTTAACCGACTGAGCCACCCAGCTGCCCCCGATTGCACTTTCGATAGCAGTGTTTGGGTTTGCCATTTATTCAAATCTAGCTATTTGGCATTGTTAGCTTTCTAAAAAATTTAACTATTCTCTTAAGTATTTAGGGATATCTATTTGTGATCTTGGTTTGTTTTTTTTCATTACTAATGAGATGGAATTGGCTCTGGAGAGATCTTCTTTCATGAGGTGTCTGTTCAGTTCTCTTGCCTGATTTCTATAGAATTTTTCTCCTTTTTTCTTGCCTCATTTAGATTCTTGTGAATAAAATGTCTGAACGACTTAAGCATGTACACGCCTTAGGATAGTTCATCCTGGGAGAGAAAGGAAGAAGTACTTACCTCTGATACCACTTTTCTCTTGGTCAGTGTTGCCTTCACTTCATTCTCCAGGCCTACTTCTAAAAACATAAAATTGGCATTTTTTTTAGATTGAAGAAAGTAGCCCAGTTTTTGATATTCTAATTAGGTCAGTTAAGAGCCGGTAATTATCTTTATAGATTGATTTTCCACATGATTCCTTTAAGTGGTAAGCTTCACTTTTTTTTTTTAGTGTTTATTTATTCTTGGGTGGGGAGGGGCAGAGAGAGAGACAGAGACACAGAATATGAAGCAGGCTTCAGGCTCTCAGCTGTCAGCACAGATCCCAATGCAGGGCTCGAACTCATGAACTGCGAGATCATGACCTAAGCCAAAGGTGGCCGCTTAACTGACTGAGCCACCCAGGCGGCCCTAAGCTTCACTTTCAAAATGTGAAATGTCAATAGTTTTTCTAATACCTATTTTATAAGACATCTATTGTGGTAAGTGAACTGCACCTAATCTTTTTTGCCAAACTCCTTTGCAGTTATATAGAGCATAGCCACTTGTAAACGACGGACATAAAGCTTCAGCTGCAGAATGTATTGATGGAGTTACTGTGAAGATACTTAGCTTTTGTACCTAGTGGAATGTGTAGGACTATGCCATTTCTGTAATTCTTTCCTTTCTATTAAAATTCAATTTGACACAAATGCTGAATGTACCTGTGTAACCCTAGTTCAGTGCTGAGTGACCTGAGCATCTCAAGAGTTGCTTGTAATGTGACCTTTTTGTACTTTGGGAGTTTTCTCCTCTCCTTCCTGGAATGGTGACTTCAGGACATCACCCACCAATAGATGTTTCCACAGTGAGGAGACATTCCGTACCCTCATTGTCCAGTATGGTCGCCACTTGTCACATGTGCTGTGGGGAACTTGAAATGTTGCTAGTACACCTAAGGAATCAAATTTTACATTTTATTTCATTTCAATTGAGTTAAATTTAAATAGCCACATGAGGCTACTGGCTACCAGATTTGATGTCACAGTCGGAGAAGCTGAGACACCGAGTGGAGGACTGTGTTCCGCTGTCAACCCTGCAGACAGTGGGCTTTGCTGTTGTAGTTGCACCCCGTCCGCATGGAAGCCGTCGCGTTTTCTAGGGGCCTGGAGTGTTGCCGATACGTTTCGTACTTTGGTGTGTTTTGACTTGTAGTCGTGCTGATTGCTGTTGGTTGTCACTGGATATGAGAGCACATTACAGTCTGTGGTGTTTTCTCTCTGGGAGTCAGAACACTTTGGGCTGGCAGTCCCTTCATTTCCTGTGTATTAGGAGGAAGTTGGCTGATTGTACCATCTTTCAAAGTCCAGTCGAAGACCTACCTTCAGTGAGATCTTCTCTATCCCAAGTTTTGTACCTTTTGAACGTCTGGTCCTTCTCCAGTGGGTCAGCCACGTCTCTCGTCTTCCTGTCTGTCTCTCTCACCTCGTCTCTTTCCACGCCTCCCAAACCTGTGCCGGGCTCAGTCCTGCTGACCTCGCCATCGTCCTCTGGAGTCGCTCTGTCGCACCTCGGGTGTTACTTAGGGGTTTCTGCCTGCCGCTGTTGCCCTTCTGGCCTCGTGCTCTTGTCTTCTTTCTTACCTTTGATCTCATCTGAAGTATCGTTTCCTTCACAAAGTCTTCCTGGAGTTCTCTAATCACCCTTCCCTCTCTGTCCCCCACGCATCATCGCATCATCGGGTCAGCACTTGCGTGGTGCGCTTTGCTATTACGTGGTAACTGGAAGTATGTCGTTTATCTTTGCACCCTCCGTAGCGTGGTTGTCACTTAGTGAATGCCTAGGAAAGGCCTGATAAAGCGCGCTTGGAGACTCCCCCTGCATAAAGATTATTCTGTGGTAAAAATTAATTAGAAGGTAGATTTTAGCTTAAAATAAAAGGAATGTCCCATTTAACTCATGCATATGTGCTGTGGTGGCTGTTGAGATCTGTTATGTCTTGGCCAGTGTATGGGGTGTATTATTTCTCTGTTCAGCATAGAATTGCAGTGTTTCTGCTGAGTTCAGCTCTGTGAGCTTATTCTGAATCCCCATCCTTCTTTATGAAATCCATGAAAAGCCTTTGTGACTTTGGGTTTCCTATTTTCTGCTTCTTCAATGAATTAGGAAGTGTCAACTTGGCCCTTTAGTGGCTTCTTTGGAGAAGAACATGCTGTGTCACCACAAGTGGGCACATATTGCTCCATTTGTCTCCTTAGTCAATGAAGGAGGCCACCAGTGGTCCCTTTCACGTTCTACTTAGCAAGGAAAAGGAGTTCCTCCGAAGTGATTCTTTTTTTAAATCTCTCTCTCTCTCTCTCTCTCTCCTTCTTTCTTTCTCCTTAAAAACTTTCTTGTCTTCGTGTGTCCTTTTACAGCAAGTTGCAGGAAACCTAGATCTCATGAAGTGCAAATCTAAACCCTCAATGAACACATTGTGGCTTTGATTCATGAAGCACATCAGAATATTATAGCTACTATTATTAGATTAAAATACAGTGCTCAGCTGTAAGACACTGTGCATTACACATTAACAGTAGATATAATAACCACACTAACTCATAAATGAGAGCTGACTATATGTGTAATCTGCTTAATGCTCAAGACTTTCATTACTCAGTTGTGAAAATAATAATTTTTATTTATATATCCAAGCAAAGTAAAGATGTAATTGCTATGCAGTAGCATTTGCATTAGTTCAAGTGGAGCCTACAAGTTTGAAGATATTGGCTATTGTCCCCATAAACAAGATATTAGTGTATAAATAGAACGGAATGCATATTCTGTGAATAACTACCAAAATTACAATTTTCCAGTTTCTTATTAATGTTGGTTATTATGCCTTTTAGATATAGCAGTATTCCACCATTTAGAGTAGATTAACGTTTGTTTTTAGCTAGTATTAGTTCTATCACTTAGCCAATGGTGTTTTCCCCCAGATAAATCTAATTAGATTTGGAAATGGATTATATATAAGGTTTCCATTAAAAAATCATTTTCACTGTGGGAAAACTTGTTATGAACATTTTAAGTGGCTATAGATTTATACAACTAGACTAATTAATGTTTATAACTGTGGCATGGGCTAAGCATAGAGCGATTTCAAGTTTATAAAAGGACTGTTTAGAAATATCTAAAAGTAAGCAAAAGCGTGGTTGTCTTTCAGTATCGTAGATAACCATTTCTTCTTCCATTCATCGGGTGATAGGCACGTGGGTTGTTTCTACTTTTTTGCTGGAAAATATGGAAATACGGAAATACGTTTTGATTTCTCACGGAGGTGTGTAGCAGTGAAACTGCTGCATTGCATGTATATATGTGTTCAGCATTTGAAGAAACTTACAGTTACTTCCCAAAGTGGCTGCAGCACTTTCCTTTCCCACCAGGAAGTGTTAAGATTCCAGTGTCTTGTTCTCATGAACACTTGTTATAACCTGGCCTTTTGACGAAAGCCATTCTTTGGGATGTGTGTGGTTATCTCATTATCATTTTGGTCTGCTTTTCCCAAATAACTAATGATAATGAGCATCTTTTTTGTTTGTGCAACTGCTTATCGAGTTGTAAGAGTTTTGTTGTTTTGTTTTAAATTCTGGCTATAAGTTCTTTCTTGAGTACGTGATTTGAAAATATTTTTCTCTCTGTGTGTGACTTGCCTTTATTTTCATAATGGTAGCTT